GAATCGTTTAAAGAACTGGCCACAATGAGTTTGATATTTGGGACGATGGAGATCCCTTGACTGGTATATATTATGTAAATCCACAGCAGCATTTGCTTAAACATTGACATTAAACATTTTGGGAGTTTTTCCTTCAGTATAAAGATCTTATAAATAAAAAATAAGTATTGGAAAAAAAATTCATAAACTGTCTGTGTGAGGGAATGAGCCAGCCAAGCATGAGGAGACAGTGGTGATTATCAAGAAAAACGGGTTTATTTCCCCAAAGTAACAAGAATCCAAACAATAATGACAGGGCCCTTAAAAGAGGTCAAATGAAGAGACTAACTTAAGGCAAAAAAAAAACCCTCAAACTAACTACAGATACAAAACTGACCTGACACACAGCAAACAAAGGGGACGTAAATAATGGCTGATCAGACCAGACTGACACACTGAGCAAGAGGTAGGGGAAACTTATACTCAAATTTCATAAAAATAACTTAACAGTAAGCTTAAGGATTGAACTTAGATTACGAACAACTAAACTAACAAAATGAGCAAGTAACAAAAGCAAAAGAACAAAAAGATTATGTAGCATATTAAAATGTGAACTCCATGTTCCTACCCAATTGTGGAACTCCAGACAGTACCAACCAATTCAGTGAGTGCCAGCCACAGTCCTTTCCATTATACAGTAAGATAGGTAAGGATACACAAGGGTATAATAGGCCATGATATAAATTGAGAAGACAGAATGGCTAACTCTCCCTATTATACCAATGGATTTGTTGATCTTCCACAATCAACCTGCCCTTTTTCTAACTTAAACTTTCATCAATGAGAACTCCCAAGAATTTTGTAGAAGATAGCTTTGGTAACCCAGCAGATCGAATTTTAATTAGAGTTAAATCTTTATTGTATGACTTTCTGTCACTTAAAATAATAGAATTAGATATTTTAAATTTAAACCATTTAGCTTATTGTCAGCTAGCTAAGCATCGCTGTTGTTCATCAATGGAATAAAGTTTGAGTATGACAGAGCTGGTGTTGTTTCATAATGGGAGAAAGCATATGTTTCACATTAGGCAGGTCACTTATGTAAATAAGGAATAGCAGTGGTCCAAGAATGGACCCCTGGGGAACTCCACATTGTCAGTTAGCTCATCCTGAGAGGTAGCCCTTAATGGAAAGAAATGTAGATCTATTTGAAACATAATTCTATAACTATTTATAAGTGGCATTTCTAAAGCTCTAAAGCTTTTGAAAAGTCTAAGAAGATACCTCAAGTCAACTCTTTACTTTATAGAGCAGAAGCAACTTTTTCAACGAAGTAAAGACATGTAAGTGGAATGATTTCTGTGAAAACCATATAAGTGATTAAAACAAAAAATAGCAGGAGAGCCTTAATGGATAATTATTATTTTTATTAACAATTTTTATCTTTTGTTTCTGAAAAGCCTGCAAAAATAGATATGGGTCTATTAGTGACGTGGGATGCATCATCAGCTTTGTACAGAAAAATAACCTTAGCAACTTTTTTATAGAACATAATGATTTAGATCAAACAACATTGTTTTGTTAAAATACTGCTTAGAGGCGCCTTATTTTTTCCATGTTGAAACCTGGAATAGAAATAACAAATATAAGCAGGTAGAGCAATAACCTTGAAATACATACAGCTGTGAATTCAGTGAACGATGGCTCATGGCATACCTGTTCTGCAAACTTTGTTAAATACACCAAAACTGGCAGTTTTAAGTTAAAAAATGCCATTTAGCACATTGGCATAACACATTTTAAAGCAGTGGAAGCTACACACCAGAACAGTTTAACATACATGTTGTTTGGATGTTTTACTAGCCACCACCTGCATGGTTTTAAGTGCAATTAAAGTCTTCAGACCCCCATTCACACATGGAAGTCCTAATGATGTAACTGCCAAATCAAGTCAGTTACTACTGCTTTCCTTATTTTTCGTCTCTGTCCCCCCACTTCACACACGGATAAACACGCACCGTACGCCAAGTCTAATTTTGCAGGAGCTGCCACTGTGCAGCACGTGTGCAGTGGTGCAGTCTAATGCTTTCCAGGTGCTCAGGATATATAACATGCTGCTCAGGCATGCAGAAAGAACAGGCCATTGTTTCAGAGGGTCTTCCTTATAAGGAGATCCAGGTGTGGAGGAAAGTCTGAGGAAGAGCTGCGGTGATTAAGGGTTTGTAGTGTGCCTGTATATCTTTAAGAGGAATAACGGCTACTGTTCAAACACTCAGGGAGGAAAGAATCTGTAGCAGTTAATTTAATAGAATATAATAAAAGGGATTTTGGCATTGGAAAGATGGAAACTCTTTCTTGGTTCACTGGTGAACATTATGGGGAGCAACCAAGAAATTGTCAAATGTCTCCTGAATGACTCCTGAAGTTGGACATGAAGATGCTTGGATTAGGTTAAGACATCGGTCTGTGCGCTATGATTTGATCAGAATGGCAGGGTCGAGAAAACACCACATAGTTAAATGAAAAATCCATTTCAACATCCAGCTTCCACACTAGATGTGATGAGTGATCAATGGGGGATAAACTGGTAGCAACAATCAGTATGTGCACACTAAAACTAATATACAACTCACCCACCTTGGATTCACATTTAGCTTTGAAAACAGTTTGTTGGCATTATTTTGGGAACACTTTCTCTCTTTGTCTTTGAAAATTTCTCTAAATCTTTCATATTTTCAGGATGACTGATGTCTACAATAATTTTCAAGTGACTGTAGAGTATTTCTGTTTCTGTTTTTTTTCTTATTTCTGAATTTGCGGTTCCAAAATTGTGCAATTTGTCTAGTGAAACTAGTCAATGGTTGGTTTTGACATATACTTGGACAATGCTGGATACATTTATTAACTCTGTATCCTCAGGTTTTCCAGTAAAATCTTGAAGAAGTTTTAAATAAAACTGTAATTGCCCCAATTCCAGAGTTAAAGAGGAGCTTTATTTGACCTCAAAACAGTAGATGGTGAAAACAAGGCCTCTATCCGCTCAGGCACTTGAAGAAAATGCAAGCAACTGACAACCCGTGTCAATCACACTAAGTGCTAATCAAAAATTATTTCAGCCTTTTAATGCTGCTGACAGCTTCCTAGCATTCTTGCTGACCATTCTGTTTACGGCAATGTTAAGAAAAGTAACATTCAGTTGTTAAGTTTTACCATTTCTGTAAAGTCTGAAGTTTGAACCTTTAATGCAAGTAACATGTTTTCCTAGAGGTATGATATTCTAAGCTCCTCTTAGATGTGTAAACCATCACACAGTCCAAAAAGTTAAACTTTTGTCTTGTCTGTCTTTACAAGATTTTCCCCAAAATCACGGATCCAAAAGAGTTTTTGATTATTGTAACACTGTGTTATTTTTGACAGCATTGGTTTTCACTTTGGAAGTTGGGAGCCATTTTCCCATGTCTCTTTCTTATTGTTCAATTATAAACTCTGACTATATCTGAGGTAAGCGAGGCCTGTAGAGCCTTATTCTGCGTTCTCTTGTGACCTCCTGGATGAGTTGCTCATGTGCTTTTGAAGTAAATTTTGTAGGCCACTCAGTTCCTAGAAGGTTCCCCTCTGGTTTGTGTTTCTATGAGTTCAAATGTCTTAAAAATGTATATTTTAACCCCTTAAATACATAGATGTCAATGAGATTTTTTCATTTGTTGTTGGATCTCTTTAGATTTAGGTCTAATTAATTGATAGCATGTTTTAGTATTTTGTCTTGTCTAGTGAATCTGACCAATGAATAATCATAGTTTCTGCATATTTTCACTCAGGTTTATTTGTACTTGGAGGTTTGTATTTAAACAATTTGAAAATAGTTTTTTCTAATCATTCATAGTGACAGATTTGTGAGACCAAAAATAAAAAACAAGAAAGAAAAAAAAAGGTTTTTCAAGGAACTGTAAAATTGAAAAATCTACAGAAAGCTACCAATTCAAAGAAAAAGGCACATTAATATTAAGAATATTAATAATTTCTCTCTTCAAAACATTCATATTAAATTATGAAAGTTTCATAGCAGAATATATTCAAGAAAAAAATAATTCACCTATATTCACCTGTGTGCAGACAGATTTTAAAGACTCTTCAAAAAGAAGGTGAGATACTAAGCAGAGGATGTCAATAAAATCAAAGGTTCAATACATTACTTATCACTTATTATAATTGCAGGTAATGATTCCAGTAGTTGATTAAGGTGTAGCTCAGCATCTCTTTTTTAACCTCATTTAATAATATGATTGATTATTTTAAAAGAAATTAAATAAAAATTCACTTTTAGAAGAAAATAATAAAGAAAATATAAATCAGTTCAGATATGATGATAATTCTGTTGTTTTTATTGATTTGTACTAAATAGCCTTACTATTTCACAATGCCTTTTTACTATTATGCAGTAATGTGCACAGTATTTCCCCAATGATTTATCTTCTTTGGGAACGGTTTTGGTGGCTTTGGTGGTGCACTGGTTACCGTGCTTGACCAATGTATGGAGGCCTTAATCCTCGACATGGCCGACCTGGGTTTGAATCCCACTTTTGAATCTTTACCAATGTTTCCCACTCTCTCTTGTATCCCCTTTCCTGCAGCCCACTGTACAAAAAAAAAGCCAGTAGTGCCTCAAAAAGACCTCAAAAAATAAAAACAGCTGGATATGTTTTAAATGCTGCATTTTGTTGCACCATTCCCTAAAAGCATGAATGAACGCATATTTCCCCAGCTACTATGAATGGCATCATTTTGTGCATTCTAGTGATGAGAAAATACCAATCCAACCTCCACATTCTGCAGTCTAAAGTTTCCATTAGATCCTCATCATTTTTCCATGTGTCTGCAGTGCGCTTCTGTGCAGTTTTTTGTTCAACCAGTTTGTTTTCTTCTGGGTAAAAGGTGTTCAAGATGACCTCTAATGAACTCCAGTGTTTTCTTTTTCTCCTCCACTTACACACTGTGCACTTCCTATGTTTGATTTGTGGCAGACCGCGGTTCTCAAAGCGCCTTGGACCTGACAGAACTGATCGGCGTTCCCCTCCCCCCATCGGTCTCCTTTGTTGGGGGGTTCGAAGGCTACCCGGCCTACAGCTTTGGCCCAGATGCAAACGTTGGCCGCCTCACAAAGTCGTTCATCCCAGACCCATTCCATTATGACTTTGCCATCGTGGTGACAGCGAAACCGACTACACGGCGTGGTGGTGTGCTTTTTGCAATCACAGATGCATATCAAAAGGTGAGACATTTTAACTTTTGTGTTTTTATTAGTCCTGTTTGAAAAATTTGAGCAATCTGGGCCCATTAGGTTGATGTCTGTATATTTTGCTTGGATTGCTAAGATCGTGCAGTTGGGTGTAGCCCTGTCAGAGGTAGAAGATGGTGCCCAGAACGTCATATTGTACTACACAGACTTGGAAACGAGAGGTGGAACCAGAGAGGCTGCTTCTTTTAAAATGGGAGACCTGACAGGACGATGGGCAAGGTTCACTCTGACTGTGCAAGGTGCAGAGGTGAGTTGGAACAACCTGTTTGTTGGAACATATATTTAAAACTCCATACTTTTCTTTATAACATTAAGAGACACTTTTTCTAAGTTCTGTAATCATTATAAAGTGGTCTTTCTTTGTTTTAATTATTTTTCATGCCTTAAATGAATATGGATATTTTCAGGTGGAAATTCCATATTTTCTAATGAGATTTCAATTTACTAACCTTCAAAATACCAGTAAAGAGGTTCTCCCTTTCCATCATTTTAACACTATCTAAATTCTTTACAATTCATTAGAATTCAGCATTTATCCAGCAGCTTTAGACAGATGCTTGATATGTTCTTTAAATGAGAACTTTACCAACAATTGACCTGTAACCACAAGTAAGAATTCACTTAAAGCTGGAACAAGCCCATGTTTCTTTTTTTTTTTTTTTAGAAAATAAATGGGTCCGAGTTTTAGGCGACAAAATATAGAAGAAGGTTAAACAATAGATATAAAGATTATAAAAGGACAGTTTCCTTTTAGTAAAGTGGCCAAACTTATGCAAAGTCATAGCTGAACTATGCACCCCTTTATCTCTAAGGAGTGATTAATTTGAGAGATTTTTCATAAATATATTGCAATTTTGAAGAAAAATACTAGGATTATGTTTACATCGTGCCCTATATCACATATCATTTTAACTAGTATTATTAATTCATTGTGTTATTGAGCTGAGCAGGGGGTGGAGGGTAGAGTTAGGGTTGGAAATTAAGTTCAAAATCATAAATAAGAACTGGTTCTCTCTTTAATAACATAGTGGGAATAACTAGGTAGTTGAATGTGGGAGAACGATGATGAGAGATGTAAAGTCATTGTTGAGTTGATCCATTGTTTTCTTTAGCCAAAAATAGTTATGTAATTTAGATCTTTCACAAAGCAAAATGTTTCCATCAGAGACAACATTCATGGCCCATGGCAATATTTCATCATAGTAAAACATTACCATAGAACCTGATCTGGGTTTAGACTGTTGTCTTGCTGATGTATCCTGCTTCTCTTTGTAAGCCTATGTCTTCCAAAGTATTCCAGACTAGGTCCTTTCTGTGCTTCCCTCTGTCTCCTTAGTGCACATCAATCAATCAATCAATCAATCAATCAATAAATCAATCAATCAATCAATCAATCAATCAATCAATCAATCAATCAATCAATCAATCAGTTAATCAACCACCTGACCAATTGCTCCAAAGTCAAAATGAAGGTCATCTGATGTTTTCTGTAAATACACAATCATATCTAAAATGAACTGGACTCTGGGACCTAATCTACATAAGTTTGTTATGGGTTTTTGTGATATAAGCTAAAATTGCCTTCTCTGGTTTCCATTTAGATTCGTCTCTACATGGACTGTGAGGAATACCACAAAGTGGCTTTCTCCAGGAGCGCCCAACCTCTGACGTTCGAGGCCAGCTCAGGGATCTTCGTGGGGAATGCCGGTGGAACGGGCCTTACTCGGTTTGTGGTGCGTCTTCATTCCCTGTTATCAACCTGTGTGCATGAGTGCAAAGCGAGGCTACTATCTACCCATCATTTTTAGTAACAGGACCTCCCTGCTCTGTCTTTTCTCAGATGTGTTTGACAGCTAGTGATCCAGTTAGTTTATTTCCTCATTCCTGGTGTCAGTGCGATTGGATCAGTGAGTTCATGATGACGATTGAATCCAGAGCTAGTATGAAGAGGCAGATGTGATGTTTGGGTGGTTGTCTCCTTTTTTTTATGTGAACACAGTCATCTTTGTTGGCAGCTTTATGACCACCGCCAGAGACCACAAAATGAAAGACCACATGTGTCTGAGTGCTGTCTTCTCCGATGAGAGCTTATAAATGGAAAGCTGTTTGTGATTTGTAGGTTTGAAATACAGCTAAGCTCCACTGTTGTCTCTATTGGCCCATATTGAATGTGAGTGGAGAGTTGAAAATGGACCTAATCACTGATGAATATGTGAGCACGGAAAGCCCCTCTCCCCATAGTAGTAGTAAAAAATGCTCCAGAGTTAAGCTTGTTAGAAGAAGTGGAGCAGGTGCAATATATTTAGCTCTGATTGTTAATGTAAAGGAGAATATAACAGCAAATGTTCAAAAAATTGGTCAACAAATATCTGATCTATTATCAGGATTAATTCTGGTTTTCAAGGCCCTTTCTTGAAGATCTTTAGTTTACATTTTGATAACAGAAATAATCTCTCTTCAGAACATTTTTAAATTGTTTAAAAACCTTTGGTTCATCCCTTTGACTCTTTGTCTGCACATCCTATCCCTCCCTCTGGTTTCAGGTTTTTATTTTAAATCAGACTCCAATAAAGTCATTTGCAATAATTGTTCAGTTAATGTTGAATGTCTGCTTTTTAGAAGTAGGACCAACTTGGACCCACTAGGTGTGTTTGATTACAAAGGCTACATCCTCCAAGCACCTGGTCTACTTGGACTGGGTCCTTCGACGTCCGTGGAAATAAGGAGGCTGGAAGAGTTTTGGCTGTGCATTCAAACACGTCCAGCCTTCTCTGGCATTCACCGCCTGTACGCTCTGTCGCCCAGCAAACGTAACAGTTGACACACAAAGCATGAAGGGAATGAATCCCAAACTTCTTACTACTGTTCTGGGTGCTAGTTACCTTTTCAAGGAGCTTCAGCAGCACTACCATTGTCACAAATATCATATTTTTAGTCTTCACACTGCAGATATACTAGAATCTGTTCTTAAATGTCAGCCAAACCCATTTGTACAGGCACGGATAAAACCTTTCAATAAACCAAACATCACACACCACATATCTGAGTCAATAACCATTTAAAGCAACTATTTTTATTAATTTCAGACAGAAATATTCACATACTTGTATTATATTAAACTGCACTTCAAATATTCACCACTGTTCTGAGCCAAGTACCTTTTTCCTCTGAGCACGGAGCAGCCGGCTTGCTTGGACCCACGATGAATCACGGGATACCAAAGGCTACGTAGGATACACCGGACCCATCCTTCAAAATGTGCAAAAAGAGGGCTGCATTTGTTGGCCGCATAACAAGGAGTCTTCCTATCCGAACAGACCTTGGCGCTGTGCTATGACGTAATCGGCAGATGAATCTGGCCTTGGGAGGACGCAGCTCATTAATTCAAACTCATCATAAGTCTAAAGCTTGGATGTTCGGACATGGCTGCTTCCTGACGTTTTGCTGTGGAGCAGGTTTATGTGATGGGGAAAAAAAACAAAACAGATAAGCTCTTAGTGGAAAAGGAGAAAGAAAAAGTTCCTATAAAACTTTTTACATCATTAATATTTTATTAGAGACCACTGAGAGGCATTACAAAAAAAAGCTTCTGGGAACCGAGGAGGGAGTTTGTTTTTATCAAAGGCTCCTTATTGATCGTCTTTTGGCTTTAAAGAGTTTAAAAATGTCAAAATGCTTTTGTCTACTCCATGAGTTGGCCAGTTTTTTTTTTAAATCTTTTCTTAGTCGTTTTTGTTATTCAGCAATTGATAACAGTTTGATCTTTTACTCTCATCTCATCTAAAACTGAAGGAAAATTATAAATATCTTCTCACTGCATACCAACGGAAACTTCTTCATGTTATCGCATATTGAAATAGAAAACAGTGTTTGCCATTAATTTGACTTTTTGTGAGAGCTGTGAACCAGTCATTACACTGCTAATGAACTGGGACTGACCTGCTGAATGGATCCACTCCCTTTCGGGGAGATTTTTATGTCCTATCATTGCTGCTATAACATTTCTATTCCTACACATCTCCTCAGAGTAAGCCATGTCTTTCATCACTCCCATGCCTCCCTACATTCAGACAAAGAGGAGCAGTGGTGTCTATGCAGCTGTTTGGTGTTTGCATTGGCTGCTCTGTCAGAGATAATCTCTCTGAGAGCAATAACAGACCCCATTCAGCAGCAGCTCTCTGCAGTCATATTCTCACTCATGGCTTTTGATGAACACATAGGGAGTTAAAAAAAAACAACAATGAAAACTCCAACTCTGACTTGGACTTACATATGGCCTTAGTCTCTGGAGTTACATTGAGTCAGTCTTTGTGTGCAGCACTTTATGAGCCATGGTTTGCTGCTGTGGAAAGCTCCTTTTCTTCTGGGCCTTAAAGTGAAAAATGTCTTCCTAGTGTAGAATGGTGAAAAGATAGGAAATTTATAGATTTGCATTCATGTTGTTGCTGTAATCCTATTTTTTAAGGATGGTAATGACACATTTGTTTTGGAAATAAAAAAGAAAGTTCACTTGGAATATTGTTTAGGGAAAATGTATCCGTCCAACCATCAGTCCATCCATCACACAGATCAGCCAGGAGTCATGTTGTCTGATGTGTGGGCTGCAGGATGAGCACTGTTTTCTATTGATGATGAACATTGGATAAAAATGAAAGCACAGTACCAGAAAATATTCCTGCATCTCTTCACTTTTCTCCTCCTGTTCGGTAAATGGGTTATAAATAATCCAGAACTCAATAACTCAGACCGTCTTCTGGCTCAAATCTACTCTACATACCCAGAACCAGAACCAAACATAGAGAAGCTTTTAGTTTCTATGCTCTACTAATCTGGAATAAAATTCCAGAAAACTGTAAAAGTGCTGAATCTTTAAAATGCTTTGAATCATATTAACTTACATGTTTAAAATGGCCTTTGGCTTTTCTATCTAAACATTACTACAATCAAACTTTCCTTTCAAATTTCTATCTATAATTGTATCATTATGTTTTAATAATAATGTTGTATTAATTATTACATTTTTTCTATCATTTGTGATCATTAATTATTTAATTATCTCTATTGCACTGCATGGTTTTGTACTCTCGCTACTATATTGTTGTGTTTCTCATGTACGGCATTTTAAAATGTCTTATTACTGAAATCTGCTTTATGAATAAACTTACTTGCATACTTCTTATTTTTGAAGTAATGGCACAAGAGAATTTTATCTGCAACTAGCTGTACTGTATTATTAAAACTAATGCTTACTTTTCCTTAAACGTGTTTGGGGGCACTTTTAAAATTTCTAAAGTTGATGCAAACTGTAACTGTTGACTCTTCAGTGCACCTTTGCATCTGTGGTTTAAATGAGAGTCTACTATTTTTCTACCTTCATGCAGCCGCTAGCTGTGCTGCAGTTCTGATATTACTTGTGCTAAAACACGCTCAAAGTCACTGCACAAATCAAAAAACACATGCTCCTTATATCTCTTGAAGGCTTCTCAGGATTTTTCTTCTATATATTTTTCAAAATACAATGGAAAAACATTTTCAATGTGGACTGGATGTAGTTTAACATAATATGTCTGTTCTGGATCCCCAGATACAAACCGTGTTATGGATGATTCCATTTAATAAGCTGCACAAGCAAATAAACTGAGTTGCATCTTCACCTGGTATGAAAGAGTGAACTGACGTTTTAAAGCTGTAGAGAGGATTGCGTGGCACATTTAGTTTCAGATGTGTTGTTTACTGCACAAACAGATGTCTGTGATTTGGCTTGCTACTCTGGCTCTTATCCACCCAATCCTCTACTTTTTTTCGATTAGTTCCACCCTTGTCTGTTTGTCATTCTTTGCCACATTGAAATTTCACAGGCACTGCCTTATTAGATTAAAAACAGGTGATTATCTTCTGTTCTTTTCTCTAAACAAACAGGCTTGACTGAATCTCCTTTTTTAAAACCTATGGCTTTGTCTCTACATTTGAAATCCCAAATAACAGTTTAGACCACCGGTTGGCAGTGATCTAATAAAACAACATAGAGACAAGTAGCATTTGCCATCAACTTACATTTATAAATTGTAAGTGTCTGAATCGCCTGTATACCAATAAATACCATTATCTGGGCCACAAAAATATAATTGTAAGGATCCCCTAAAGATTTATCAAAGGGTTTAAATCAATTACTCAGTTTTAGTCAGCAAGAAGTACACAGTGACTGGGACGACCTTTGACCTTTTTTACATATTTTTGGGGTATGCTTCCGTCAGCTATGCACACCAAAAATGAATGTATTTACAACAGTTTAAATTGCAAAATAGCCCAAGCTTCGTCAGACTAAAGAGAGTGTCTGACATCAATTTCAAGCATCCGATTCTGTTAGATTTATGTGCAGATTAATTTGACCATTCAAACTAAACCCCTTCTTTTTATCAATTTTTTATATGTTTAGGCTTGTTGTCCTGTGGAAAGGTGAACCTTGCTGTGAGTCTGCACTGTGGATGGATGGTGTTTTTTTTTTATTTTGCATTTGGGCTAAACCCTTCATGCAATCTCATTAGCTGTGGATTTCTGCACCACCTCCAGAGGTATCACCGGTCTCTATGACCCTTTCCACTTTGTAGCACCTTGGCAAGTTTCCAGAGTGCTTTATTTTTCCTCCACGGCTTTCTCTGTTCTTTATATAGGTCTAACTAAAGGTTATAAACTGTACAGAAGGTCCTCCATAGTTGTATTTTATTTACTTTCACATCTAGATGGCCCACCGTGCCATGAACTCTACTTACATTGCTGTGATACTTAACTGTGATGAACAACCAGCCATTTATAGTTGAGATAACTCTTACTGAGATGGTAGCAATGAAAAAGTCCCATTAGGTGCTTTTTAAGTTAAAGCCAAGCTCTGGTGTTTAGATTTGCTTTTCAAACTCAGTCTAAAACAGATAAAAGGTGTCAAGCATAGAGTGAGCCAAATAATGTTGGTGTAGCATTGATGCTCCCTCTCATTGATTCCTCTTTGTTTCCTGCAGGGTTCCATTCAGCAACTGGTGTTGAAATCAGATCCCAAAGCTCCAGATGACCAATGTGAGGAGGATGATCCTTATGTGAGTCTGCATTTATGAGAACATTCTGCACATTACACTGCTCTAAAAAACAAGAACTCTTACTCCCTCTGCTGATGGGAGGAGAGTATTGCAATATTTTCAAGCTGCCAGAAAGTCATTCTAATTGGTGATGAGCAAATAACTGTTTGGTCGGTAACCTTTTATTTGGATAGGAAGATAAGGGGATTCTATCTGTCTTTTGTATCCTTAGTGAGCAGTTTACATTCTGCAAAATTGCATATTTTTACTATGTCAGTGTGGGGTATAGACCTGTTTTAAAGTCTAAAACATTCAACATTATTTCTTTCGGTAAATAGTTAGATTATTTCCATCTGAGTAATGAGTATGAAATAAACACTTCTAGTTGACAACAGTTTAAGTTCATTTCTTAAATATTTAGTTTGCTTATGCTATATAAAATGAACATATATCTGTACACTGATTTAGAATTTTTGGTTTTATGGAGTTGCTTTTTTACTTTAAGTGGACTCGCTTTCATATGTTTTTAGATTTTTATTCTTTTAATGTCATTACAGTTTAATCATAGTTATTCAATGAGATTTTACCTCTTTTAATATTTAATATTTTGGAGTGGAGCGTTTTAGAATATCACACACAAGAAAAAACAAATAAAAAATAAAAGTTTTGTATTCTTAAGGGAATAAAAATAATCTAAACCAACACAGCCCTGTGTGAAAAAGTGACTGCCACCACACCTAATAAGTTGTCGGAAACAGCCTTTGCAGAAACGACTGCTCACAAGCATTTCTGATAACTTGCAGAGAGTTTTTAAAGAGCTTTGCAGGAATTTTGATCCACTCATCTTTGCAGAATTGTTGTAATTCTCCTAAATTTGGGATCAGGTCCTAGCATCTCAATAGGATTCAGGTCCTGGTTTAGACTAGGGCACTCCACAGACTTCCTTTTGTTTCGGTTTGCTGTCACCAAAAAAGTTGTTTCCATTCGGAGGATTCAGTGTCCTCAATGTCTTTTATCAAAACCAGGTGGACTGGTTTGAGCCCAAAAATACCCAGGCCAAAATTTTCCCCAGTCCAGCCCTGATGACATGCCCCCTAATCATCATTAGCTGTGGAAGCCTCACACTGGGCCTCAAGCTACATGGATTATCTAACTCCCTACTCATTTTTCAGATTCTAAGATCTTGAGTTCTAAAGAAAAGCAAATGCTCCTTTCATCTGAAAAGTGGACTTAGAACAATGACCAAAATGTATGGTTCTTGTCTTAAGTTCAGGAGTTAATTGGCATGACTAATACAACGTTGGTAGGTTGGATGTAGATGTTGTCTGTGAGCAGTGGATCTTGATGCACCTAAATTCATGAATAGATTTTGCTTGACAGTCAAAAGGCTGCTATTATTCCTGTGGCTGATTCAGGTTTTCATTCCACACCTTTGCTCTCTGAATAGACAACCTCTTTAAAACTACCTTTGTATCTTAATATGGAGGATGTACAGTAAATAGTCTTCTCAACATCTGTCTAATCAGCAGTTTTCTTCAAGATTATTTAGCCCATACTACTGTGGCACATGCTTTGACTCCCCAGAGGGCACTTTAGCACTTGTTTTCGTTCCCTAGAGGGCAGTTAAGGACACTATAGCTTGTGTTTTGGCTCCCTAGAAGGCACTTTAGCACATGCTTTGACTCTCGAGAGGGCTCTTTAGCATGCTTTTTGGCTCCTTAGGGGTTATTTTGGCACCACTTTGACTCCAGAGAGCGCACTTTAGCATGCTTTTTGTCTTATATAAGCCTGAAACGGCAACATGTGCGCTAAAGGCTGATTTATACATCAAAACTATGTCGTCTGCATAGATGTCACGGTGAACGCAGAGATGTCCCCGCCCCCCTCTGCTGACACTCTGCTGCACCTCTCCTGAATTGTAGGTGACCACAGAATGTGCCACAGACAGGAGTCCTCTGATTGGTCAAATCTACATCCGCTCTACACTATGCATCTCCTGTTTGGTACCTTATCTGCTTGTTTTGTTTGTATGACCGCAATTGTGGAAAATGCCTCGTGAATTTCGACTAGCTAGAAGAGCGAGGTGCGTGAGAATGCTCAGATCCTTTTTCCACCTGGATCCCTGCTCTTTTTCGCCTTCATGTCCCTCCGCTGTTAGACAAACTTGCCCCCACTTCCTCACCGCCTCGGCCGTATCTAGACGCACAGCTGGTTCCTGATTTTCCCCTTTTGTGTTGTGGCGTGGAATAAACATAGCACAGACCACGCTTTAATATTGAGCATAAATCAAACATTTCTGCGTCATACCTGGGACAAGCTCACTGCAACACACTGCAGATATAGTCAGCCCTTTAGTGTATTAAACCACTATAAAAAAGACCCCTGCCCTAGAGGGTGCTGTAGTACACACTTTGACTCCCGAGAGGGCAATTCAGCACGTTTTAGCTCCCTAGAGGCACTTAAGGGTAGTTTAGCACATGTTTTTCAACTATTGAAAAATGCCACTGTCAATTGCTAAAGAATACAAAAAAAAATAAAAAATAAATGTTTGCAAATTTTGGGATATTTGGAGAATTTTAATTTAGGCTGTTCATTAAATGAAAGACATAACCATCAAAATAAAACATAAAGACTTTAAATATTTTATTATGTAATACATCTAAATAAGTTTAACTCTCTAAAATGAGCAACAAAAACTGCAGAAATGTTTTAAAGTAATCTAGTCATTTTTATTATTTATATCCATTAGAATAGTCTGTTTCATCTAGTAGGTAATTGGCTGTGCCTTTACAAGAAAATTAATTAGCATTTAAGTGTGGAATATTAAATATAATCTCTTTTTAAAGTTCCAGACATTCTGCAATCACTCCAAAGATGGTGCCTCTGGGTTTTAAAAGGGGCTCATCTCTCAAAGCGGATTTTGTGTCAGCAAATTTTTAGAAATTACAGTTAAAGTCTAATTTTAATTTCTGGCTAATGTAGGTGACCTTTATTGTCCTGGGATGATGAAGGAAATACAGAAGCCTCAAGCAGGTTTTTTTGTAAACAGTTTTTTTTTTTCTCTCATGCTCCAGCAAGATTATATCTCTGTCCTGCTTTGTTTTCTTAAATGTTTGAGTTCTGTTTCAATTTCTTTTAATTTTCCTATTCTCATGTTTGCTTCAGGCATCTGGTTTTGGAAGTGGAGATGAAGATTATAAAGACTCAAAGGACACAGATGAAGTTAGGAAGATTATAGAAGAGAGAGAATACCCCACGGTATGTATGCTGAACTTCAGCTTTTTTTCTCTTTCTGTAATTTTACTAAATTGGACCCAAACCAAAGGAAACAGCTATTATCCTTGCGGGTCTGTTGGAAACTGGATCACAGTGATATATGGTACTTTCTGCCAATTCTGTGTTCTCAACGACCCACCACAGGGTGCAGGGTTGACAGACAAGCGGGGAGAGAGCCATGATATTATACATGCAGAAATAGCTCCACAGGGGAACCTGTCGGATTCATTTCAGGAGCTGGATGAAAAGATCGGTATCCATAGCTCAGCGGGGTCTGAAAGAGCCCCTTGTTGAATTAAATGCGGTTACTATGTTTCCATGATAGCTAGCAGGAAAATCTTAGGGTAAAAATTATTCTACAAGTGTAAATCAAAGCAGAGTTTATTTCAAATGTATTTTCAGTGGTAGCAGAGATCATCAGAGTTGCTCTGCCAACATGTCTGGACACTCCCTTTTTCTGTGGCATTGCTAATTGGCTTCTCACATCCCAGAAGGATGAAAAAAAGGATCCAAAATGCGGCCTGGTCTATTTTTTTGTTTTGTTTCTCACGTCTTTTTGAATCTCTTTGATTTTGGGCAAGACGTGTTGCTTGTTATTTATTTATTTATTTATTTATTTATTTATTATCTGTCAGGTAGAAAAATAATGAATGGCTATAACAGGTTAGTTTAATATAATGCATAAAGGGTTTGTAGCATATAGCTGATCTAATACTTGTCCTTGGTTATGCTTCTTTCTATTAGAAAAACCTCTATTGTCCATTTTGAAGGATTTGTAGGTTTTACAGATCTAGCAGTAACAAAGTCTGTATGTGGCTTCTGTAACCAAACTGTGATTTTCTAGAATTTTTTTAATGATAGAATACGTTTTTTAATAATTATATTTCTATACAGGTCCAGGTTGAGTGGGGAATCATTCTCTGTGAATATTAGATTCATATGTTTTAACCGCCGTTAAATGTATGAATCTGTTTGATCTGAAACATTACGGTAAATGTAACAAAACGGAAAAGGAGAAAAAGTAGATTTTAAGGGCAGTGAGCAGAGATGGCAAAAGTACTCACTTTCCGTACTTGAGTAAAAGTACAGATACTTGTGTTAAAAAATACTCTGGTAAAAGTGGAAGTACTGATTAAACTTCTTTACTCAAGTAAAAGTAACAAAGTACAGGCATGTAAATTTACTTAAATTATAAAAATAAAAGTAGAAACCACTTTTTTCATGCCGTTACCTACATTTTAAATGGATGTCTGCCAATAGGACTAGATCTCTGTTGTGTTCATTTTCAATCATCTCGTCGTCCATGCTACTATGCTAACGCCACCGCCACCAAGCTGCAATGATTTGCCGCCAATGAATACCGCCGAATCTGTCGATTCATCTTGTAGTGGTGCGTCAAATGCAACGTAGATTCCCATCCAATTAGATTGAATTTGGTATTGATGACGTGAAAAATAATAACGGTAACTCCAATGAAATGATTCAAAACTAAAGTAACGAGCCAATTTTTTAAAATGTAAGGAGTAGAAAGTACAGATATTTGTGTAAAAATGTAAGGAGTAGAAGTAAAAAGTCGCCATAAAAATAAGTAGTAAAGTAAAGTAAAAATATCAGAAAAATCTACTTGAGTACAGTAACAAAGTATTTGTACTTCGTTACTTCCCATCTCTGGCAGTGAGGCTCATTCATACTACTGTGGCTCATTTGTAGTTTTGCTAACATGATCTTTAAAAATAGAGGAGATGTTTCAAGAAGAACTTTGTGGCATATTTCAGTCAAACACTTAAATCAAAAGCTTTTAAACTAATTTTTCTTGTTTTTCTGTGATGACTGTTTATACTTGTGGGGGGATTTCACATCATACAGGTGTTACAAATGAAACTCAGAAGAAGAAAATCAGAGGAAACCAGAGCACAACCCAACACAGAAAAAAAAAATCCAATAAAAACTTGATAAACAACCAACCAGCAATAGCAAGGACCACGGCGCATCCAGACATACTTCAAGTTAAAACAGGACCTAAACGAAATTTCAAATTTTTATAACCAAATTTCTTTTTGTTTCCTCTAGTGTATACAAAATGACAAAATAAATCTGTCTAAGTCTAAGTGTAAGTCTAAGACCTAAGGTTTGAAGAGAAAAACGGTAACAAGTTAAATCAGATTTTTAAGCAATACATGAAAAATCCTCTGAAGGGACACCAACCAGTTAGGTAATCTGTGAGAATTTCACCAAAGTTCATCCTACTTTCAAGAACTACAGCAACTTGGACCTGATTTATTTGATTAACAAGTGATTGAGACAAAACCCCTCAATTGACCAGACTGACTGATGGGACTGCATGTTAGAAATGTCACTCAGTCAATACGTTTTAGATTATAAACTTCCACAAACAAAAAAGGGCTCTATATGTTACAGGAAATAACGTTAGAAGCACAATTTTCAGATTAAAAAACAGAAGAGTATTCCAACACCGTCCAGTGGCAGGAAGATGAAGCTATCAGAAATCTCCACAAGATTCCTGGGAAGGGAAAGGTGTTTAAATACATTGAAAAGCATAAAAAAGTTGCAGCAAGTCTTGGAGAAAGTGGGGGGGGGGTTGTCTTACTACATGCGCTCCAAGACGTGCAGTCAGCTGTGATTATTGAAACAAAACTCAAACTTTGTGGGTCTTTAGATCAGCTATACATCTAAAGAAGGATGTAGAGGCAGTAAAGCACGGTTATGACTTAATCATACTGTGGGGAGGCCTCCCCTCCTCTGGTGCAGGAAATTTACTTTGTGGATAAAGGAAGAATAATTGAATAAAGCATCAGGGAATCCTAGGAGATGTCCTGCTTTGTGAGCAAGCTAAAAGATCTCATCTCCAAACATGACATCGATCAAAAGAATTACACGTGATCATCATAAACCTACCGAACCAAACTATTCTATGTGGCATATTGCAGCATGTCACAAAAGCAGAAGGTGCAACGTGGCAAAGATTCTTCATAGGAAAGGGATTAATTATTGCACAATTGCATTTCCTTTGAAGATGCCACTTAGAATAATTTAGTTGTTGTGATTTGACTTGTTTCAAGCAGCATATAATAAGTAAATCCTAATCTAAATTAAATTTGTGTTGGGGCAGTAGGTTTTCTTTTTTGACCTTTATGTATCTATCTGTTAATTTTGATAAAGATCTATATGGCTATATGTTGATATATCTTGACATTTTTGTGAAATACTAAACACAATTTCATATAGTTGTAGTATAATATAAGCTGCATTTCCAGCAGTTTAGATTTTGTATTTCTTGATTTTTAAGTCCTTTTATAACATTTCCATAAACTCTCAGTAATTTGTTGAATTCATTTAACAAAATTATTCAAAATGCATTAGACTTCCTTGTCCTCAACGTATCTTGTCTTAAAAATCATATTCCCAATAAACTAAAATCAGATATCCCTGAAACAAAAATGTAACATGAAGTTCCTTCTGTTAAAAAAAAAGGATTTTTATGTCATTTGTAAAGGATTGATCATTTTATTTTTAGAAAAGCTACAAAAATGTTTTTTTTTTTTTTTTTTTTTTTTTTTTTTAGATAGCCAGAATGGTGGCTTTTTAATCTTTATATCATCTGTTGCTTAACAGAAATGATATTGGCCATGCTTGTATGGGGACTGCTGTTTACCAATGAAATGTATCTGTGTTTAACGCTCTAATGTACTCATTGGCTTTCCTGCCAGATTTTTGATGGGAACAATTTCGCAACACATCAGTTTTGCCTTGTAAAAATTGAGCTTCAGCCAACAAAGAATTAAACAGTAAAACCCGAAGCTGATGTAAAGATCTTTGGCCTTATTAAGGTTTAACTGTAACTTCAGGTTTGGACTGGCATGTCTATTACTGCTGAACTGGGGTCATGTTGGCACAAAGTTATCACAAAATGTCTGAGGATTTATTGTCTTAAATGCACTTGGAGGCATTGCTCTGGTCAACTTTCAGTACATTTAGTGGATGTATGTCTGTAATAGAGTGGTTTCTTTCCAGAATTAGATATTTAAACCATAACATTTTTTAAAATCTGATTAATTTTAAGACAACCGTGTGTAAAGATATGAATAAAACAGATTTAGTTTTTTTCCTAATCCACACTCGCTCAAAGTGATCGATTTGGATCCAGTCCATCCTCCTTGATATCATCATTGTACTTTATGCAACTTACCAGTACCTGTGACAGAGCAAAAAAACCCCACAGTATGATGCTGTTACCTCCATGCTTTATAGATAAAAGGCATCATGAGGCTAATAGGTACTTAAAGCAGAAAAAGTTGATATTTTTCAACTTAAAACGACTCCAACCCATAAAATAACTCAGAGATTGCAAAGTAAATTCTTAGGTCATTTTCTTTAACTAATGACCTTAAATATAAAACAAAATTGGAATTGGAAACCAGTAAGAAAAATGTTCAAAATGCAGAACCCAGTTTGGATTTCTCCGTCAGATCGATATCTTAGGCACAGCTCCTAACTTTTAACAAGCTTGTATCTATGTAATTAAATAAGCTTTATTTTATGCCGGCTTTACCCATCCTAATCTAAACTATGGTAAATTTGGTGTCATCATCCTGTTGAAATGCCAAAACATGTCCAAGATTAGAACATCTGAAGCAGATGGCAACCTTGGGATAAACAGAGGATAGGTGGGATGTTCATAAGTGAAGCTTTTTGAGAATTTGGGCTGAGAGAAAGCTGACTGAGAAAGATGCACACAATTAATATTTATCACTTACAAAATTAAATGTAATTTGCTGCTGAACAAGCCCAGTTTCATCAGTGGAAAACGTACGGTATAGGAACGACTTAGATTAACCTCACTGGACTGCATGATGTGATATTCATCATCTGTGAACTAAGTACCAGCCATTCTCCACGGTGATGACTCCAGCACGATCAGGGCTGTGATAAGGCATCATATATACATACAAGGTGGTGTTAAGTCTGTCTCTGCTTTTCTAGTTTCAGGTTTATGAAAATGAAACATACCTCATTTTATGTTAGGCTGACTTTATTTTCTTTTTAAAAGGAAAAATTGATCAGAAGGCGTAGATTTAAAATGGAGTTGAAGTTCTTTAACCACTATTTTTAGGTGAAATGTCTAAACATGTCCCTCCAAAAGTTAACATTGTGCTACTTTAAAAAAATATATTTTTTCCTATGACTGACTTTTGTAATATGTCTCCACGTCTGTCTGATCTGTAGCCTTTGCCAGAACTGGATTCCATATACGGCTCCCCAGTTCGAGCCCCGCCCTCAGAAATATCACTAATTGATGATGAAGATGGAGATGTTGAGGAGTCCTCTGGGGAGGAGGTGGAGTCCACCACAGTAAGAGGTCAAATATATTATTTAACTATTGTTGAATATTATGAACATTTGATTGAAAAATATTTTTGGGTGGGAGGGTTTTGTGATATTAGTTACTAAATATATTTAATAAGTTAAAAATGTTTTGTTGCTTTCACATATATATTTCTGTTTTTACTGTTGTTCTATGTATAAGAATGTGATTATAATTGATTATCTTTATCATCAATAACTTTCTTTATCAGTTTTTTTTACTATAAGTGTTTATCCATAAATGTATCTTTATTATTAATATACGGTTGCCAGATGTATGTTTATAGTAACAATTACTATTATTCGTATAGATCTTAAGAGTAATACTTCTATATTTTCTGCTATTGATTTTTTTAGTAGTATGTGCTACCATTCTTTAAGGAAGCAGGAGGTATTGTAGTTCTAGAAATGACCACTAGATGGTAGTAAACAAACACTATAACCTTATTATCACTGTATTGTTTTCTGTCTCCTGACCTGCAACAAACCAACATGTCTAGACTATTTATTTTCTTATTAGCATTGAATATTTTGTAATTTTTGTCAAAATACTGAACTGTTTAATCATAATGTGCTGAATGTGTGTCTGTTACAGCAGGAATGATTCGGACTGATGCTTCTAAGATTCAGCCCGACACTGTAAGTTGGCTTCTTCTCCTAGACCTGCTTTGCATTTTAGGCTAAACATTAAAGCATTAAGTTTATTAAGCTGAGCATTAAAAGTCTGTTTCCATGTAGCTGAGCATCCAGGCAGCAGCCTGATCCCTGCAGTGTGAGTTTGTCCCAGATATAAGGAACTGTGGCCTATTTAAACTTTTGCTTTTGAAGTTGCTTTCCACATAGAAAGTTGCAGCTGATTAGTTCCCTGACCTTAGACTTTGTCTTTAGCCTCTGTCAGAGGGTTTTATTGCAGATGACGGTGCTGACCTTAAATTCATGTTAATATTAAGTCCCTTCAGGTTTCTTCAGGACAGAAAGGTGAACCAGGGGAACCGGGTCCAGCTGGTCCCCCAGGACCCCCTGGCCCTCCAGGACATGCGTCAGGTGAGGGAGGCGACCCTGGACCAAGAGGTCCTCAAGGCCCGCAGGGACCGCCTGGCCCAACCGGACGCCCTGGGAAAGATGGCGAGCCTGTGGGTTTTTAATCTAATCTGCTTTTTAGTTTGATTTGCAGTAATCAGCATCTTCTATTTTTAGATGCAGCTTTATGTTGTTTTATTTTTTTCCAGAACAGCAGTGTTCTGTTGTTTATCAGGCTTACAGGGCAGAGTACACTCTGATGGATGGTTTTCTATTTTTATCTGTTCTCTAGGGGATGAAAGGTGAACGTGGTCTGCCTGTAAGTAAACCTTTTTGGTTTCATGTTTGTTGCAGGTAAAATGTGTTAAGCTCATGTCAGAATTTTATAGCATGGAGAGCAAGAATGCAGAAAACTCCACCTGAGTTTTTGAAGGGAATCTGCCTAGGACAGCATCCTGTTAGGGGGCAAACTGGTCATTTATACAAAAGAATTCTTCTCTGTCACTTTTCTACTTATCCAGTCAGAGTTGAGTAAAGAATCCCCGTGTTCTGTGGTTGGAGATATTTTTCAGAGGTTTTGAGCTATTTAGAGTTATGCAGAGCTGCTGGATGCATGTCCATGGTGCAAACCTCTCATTTCAGAACGAGCCAAAGGAGCTCCACAGGTTTGAGATCTGATGAGTGTAACTAGAGTTAACTAGTTGAAGATTATCTGAGCTTCTTGATATGATGCCTTATTCAGCTGAAATCAGGGATTAAAGATGGATGCAGTGTAGCTCTTAAACAGGAGGAACCTGGATCTCAAACAGTACTGAACTGCTACTGAGGGGCCCACAGTGTTCAAAGAAAATATCCCTCAAGACTGCATAGCCTTAGAGTGTTTTCCTTTCCTTTCCTTTCCTTTCCTTTCCTTTCCTTTCCTTTCCTTTCCTTTCCTTTGCTTTCCTTTCCTTTCCTTTCCTTTCCTTTAATATTCTTTCCCTCCCTTTCATTTCCAGTGCTGCTTTATCTATTCTAATAGATTTCCACAGCTTGATTGCATGAGTAGTAAAAGCGCTGATGTTGCCTATCTTATTGTCTTGAACCAGTCTCCCCATCTGATATCAACAAGGATCATGTACTGACTGGATAGTTTTATTTTCATTTTCATTGTTTTCTGTAAACAGTGAGAAATTGTTTTAAGTGAAAATTTGAGCATGTCAGTACATTATAAAATTCACAAATATGATTTTAGCTTCTTTTAAGTTCAGCAAACTGTCTGTACAGCTGATTTGGTAATTGAGTTAACAGTCAATTAAAAATATTTACGTAATAAAGCAGCTGGTCAGTGCTTTAACTCAACTTATGATGTTTGATTTTTGGTTTATGTTTTGGTTTTTTTGGTGTTTTTTGTCTGTATTTTTTATTAATGGTCTCGCCATCCAAGCTTACCTGAAACATACAGTGTAGCTAAGATTATTTTTCTTCTTTTTTTTCTTTTCTAGGGAGCAACAGGTTTCCCTGGATTACAAGGAGACCCTGGTGAGAAAGGAGAGAAAGTAAGAAACATTTTTTTAATTACTGTGAAACAACCAGCAGATTTAGACACATTAGACGCACTTCAAAGATTTGTTAAAAGGTTCCCAGTTGAACTGCTAATACTGAGGCTGTCTTTCTCAGGGGGATCCTGGTCTTGGGGTTCCTGGTCCTCCTGGTCCTCCTGGACCTCCTGGTCCATCAAGAAGATCTTCCATGGTTTGTTTTCCACGCCATGCTAATCTTTTTATTACTAAGGGCAGTGATGCCCAACGCCACATGTATCAAACTCCAGTCATTGAGGGCTCATGCCCTGCAACTTTTAGAGGTACCCCTGCTTCAAAACACCTGAATCAAATAGATGTGTCATACGCTTCACTCTGAAGAGCTTAGCTGCATACTGAGAAGGATATTCAGCCATTTGATTTCTTTTTCCTGGATCATAGACACAAGGAGATAAGGAGTTGGGTTTGTCACCTGTGGCTTAAGCTTACTTCACTTTGAGATCTGGGATTTAACCAATAGCATGCTGTGTTTTGTACAGGAGGGGTCTGGATTTGATGACTTTGAAAGTGATTCAGAGGTCATCAGGGTAAGGAACTATTTTCTTACATTACAAACAATCTTTGTTTCATTTAATTTGGATTTTAGACAAACAATAAGTATCCAACCTCCTTTAGTGTAGAACTGTAGAAAATCCAATGCAGCTAATAATAACCTAACAAGTAGACAAAACCCACGTGTGTGTAAATTGATCATAGAGTGATCATTCAGCCATTTTGGTAAGACCACTGCATGAAAAGTGAGACTTTCGTCCCCGTAAACCCCCGTAAACTCCCGCAGATCTGCCTGATTTTCGTCAGTTTCCGACAATTTGCAACCCGTGCTTGTCCGCGTTTGTCGTGCCACAAATTGTCGAAAACGTACCGTGATGTATGTGGAGAGCGATCAGCTGTACTAATGGCCCTAATTAGCATATGAATGCAGCAAACCCGCGCGGCTGGCCAGGTCTGGCTTGAATAACCTTCTCAGTATTGGCTGAAACCACTATTCTCAAACAAGTGAAATCGCTCGTGATTGGCAGCAAAACCACACGTGGCCACGCCAGGCTTTAATTTTCTTACTGAGTATTGGACGGAACCACTTCTTTTTAAACAAGTAAAGTCGCTCGTGATTGGTTGGCATATATATATATTTACATATAAATTTACATATATATATTTATTCATATATATATATTTATTTATTCATTCATATATTTATTCATTCATATATTTATTCATTCATATGGTGTGTATTTATGTTATCCTACACTACTACACAATTATTATGCTACCATCAAGGACATGAATGAATTTATACAGGAAATGAAGATTTGCCGGGAAGCTGTTTATGCAAAGAAAGAGCTTTATTAAAACACACACAACTATATACAACGCGTATCCAAACACATGCGTTTCTAAAAATTACAACTCCGTGAACGGTCCGTTTGCTTCCTCGAGGTTGGAGGTAACTGGCAGCATTCCCTCCGAGGCAGGTCCGATGTGCAGACGCCTACTGTGCGTGGCCCTGTACTTCGGCATCGCTTCTAACCGGGACTGCAGCTTAACACAGAGTTCAGTGAGATCCGGCCTACGAAATGGCGGCGACCGTACAATCCATCCAGAGACACCGCGACGACGGCGGACTTCCAGAGTTCCACTTCCTCATCTGCTAGCACACTCTGCCTCGCTTTCAGCAGCTGAAAAAAAAAAATGAATCAGCGCACTGCGTATGGACACAACACATCTATCAATGCACCTGAAAAATAGTCACCAAATAAAGTCTTACCCTCTTTCTTCTGGCCCGACTCAGAGCAGATTGCCTCCGCACGCAGCGTGTTGGCTGGCTGCGTATATCTGAAGCTCCTGCGTACCGTCTGAAAATACGTCTTACAGGCAGCTGGAAAACAATTAAATGAGAGTGGTATAAATAAAAAATCAAACGCAAGTCACAGTAACAAGGAAGGAGAAAACATTAAAACAAGTCACTTACACACAATGTCGTCTTTATCAACATCGTGCAAATCTGGACTTGCCGTCTGTGAAAACAAAATGTAGAGCTATGATCGGTATCCATCCGTATCCATTTCCTTTTAGCGCAGAATGAAAGCATATTCTTTAAATCTTACCCTTGCTCCGGTTCATAGCGCCTGCAATTAGTCTCCGAGTTGTTAAGACGGCGTACTGCTACCTGTAAATCACAAAAAATACACTTTAATAAAGCTTGTTCTAGCAAGGCTACTATTAGCCGCTATTAGCCGGTAGCTTAGGCTAGGCTGCTTTTAGCTTAGCAGGCAGTAATCGAACATATATTTACCGCTAGCATCTATTCTTTGAGTTCGTCTTGTTCGATGCAGAGTCGACATCGCGTCCAAGAGGAGTTTTACCCCGAAATCCAGACGCTCCAGACCGCCTGCACAAAGCAAAGCATACATCCTCCACTGTGGCTGCACACACCGCCGCTCTAAGTTTCTTGGAGATCGTAGAGCGCATGCGCGAGATGAACCAGGGTTTCCGCGGATCAATAAAAATAATTAAAAAATCATTCTTTTTTTTTTAATCAAGGCCTTAATTGGCACTAAAATTATTTAAATATGTTTATCGAAGTATTTATAATTCTTTAATAAAAAATGCTTATAAAAACAATTTCGTCAGATATATTATATCGCTCCAGGCGGAGAAAAAGCTAGAGGATATATATATACGTATATATGTGTGTGTGTGTGTATGTGTGTGTGTTTACATACATACAGGAGTCATGGAACTCTGCTTGCAGCTCCTTCATATTTCATGTACACTAATAACTTGTGTACATGGTTCTTGATGATGGCATTAAAATCATTTCAAATAGCATTAAAATAGCATTAAATTAGAGTCACTCATTCCTGTATGAACCCTGTGAGCGCTTAATTTAATATGACATATTAAAAAAATCCCACCATCATCCAGCACATGTTCAGTTTCTGCCCAAATATATATATATATATTTTTGTAGATTTTTGTAACGGGGATAAGGATAATTCAAAACTGCTTTTTTTTTAATGAACTTGTTCACTACTTCCAAACTCAGCATCTCTTTTCATTCCTGTAATAAGAAGTTTCTTTTGAATGGATTTGATTAAAGTTTAAGTCCCTCGGTATAAAATAAATATTTTGATGGAGATGAGAAATCTGCTTCCTTGTTGGTGAATAACCAATAGTTTGGACCCAATCATTTAAATAAACGGTGTTAGTTTTTTTTTTTTTTATATATATATATAAGTATTGTGCTATAATTTCTAGTCACCGATCTGTTGCTGCTATATTTTAATTTGACGAAACGGAATTTGTCGATGTTCTTTTTCCTGTTTGGTGCGATTGCAATTGCGGATCTTGATCTGGCCGGACCTTATGACCACAGTGTACCAATCTTCTCATGGCTACTTCCAACAGGATAATGCGCCATGTTATAAAGTAAATCATCTCAGACTCATTTCTTGAAACTTTTCCACTTAAGTAATTGTGAATTGAGCATATTGACAGACAACATTTTATTTTTTATCTTAAATGCAATTTTTTTTTTTTATAATTATTGCTCTAAATGTATTGCATTGTCAGCTAAAGATCTGTTTTGGTCTCTATACTTTAATTAAATAAATCAATTCAAGCTAAAATGTAAGAGGCTATACTAAGCCTGATCTCTTTGTATCAGAGAATTTCTTACCCAGAAAGATGTCACTTGGGGTAAAACCCCCCCTGCAACCCTGGTTTGCATTTGTATAGCTCACAGCATGTTCATTTACATGTTAAAGCCTCCCCTAGAATTCCATGGGGGGGGGGCATGGGGGGAACACTGCCTAAGAAATTCCACGTCAATTTCTGACAATTTACGGGAGTTTTCGGCAAAGCCTGCAAATTGTCGTAAACTGCCGCTAACCTGAAGTTCCACGACAATCTACAGTGCCGCATATTGACGAAAATCCCACTTTTCATGCAGTGGACATCAGAGTTTTTTTTTAGCGATAATTAGTCAATAGATATAGTAGTTTCCAAAAGACCAAGGGACAACGAAGATGAATCAGGAAGAACAGACTGGAGAAGTTTAAAGCTATATAACAGTTATTCAAGCTTTTAACCTCTCACAGATCTATGTTCAACCCATCATTTAAAAATGAATAGATGAACACAGAATAGCAAACCAACTTTGGTGGCGCAGTGGTTGGCGCACAGGATCTATGTGTCGAGTCCTTAGTCCTTGACGCGGCCGACCCGGGTTTGAATACGAAGAGCTCCATGATGAGGAGCTTAAGGACAATCATTTGTTAAATCTGGCATTTATGGAAATCCTGACTAATTAGCCTCGTGAGATCATCCTGATCTCTCGAGCTTTCAAGGTTTCACTCGCAGATCAGTCTGGCTACTTTCCGTTAAAGAAAATTTGGAGCCGTTCACCAAATGAACGTCCAATCAGCGTTGGCTTTGAGGCGGGTTGAGGTGTGACGCAATGACGCGCAACAGTTCAGTCTAAAGAACATGTCGGCTTTAGCCGATGAAACTAGCTTTAGCGTGGCTATCGAGCAAGTTTTATCGGAATTACAGAGTATTTCTTTACTGAAAGAAGAGCGAAACACTGATCTGGAGGCTTTTCTCAGAGGAAAAGATGTTTTTGCTCTTCTCCCGACTGGTTTCGGCAAGAGTTAGCCTGGCTTGTGGTTGTGTTTTCGTTGTCGCTCTGTTAGTACATCATATGCTTTGTTGATCTGATTTAATTGGCCCGTCTATCACCAACATAGGCCAATCAGCTAACCAGTATTTTCGCCCCTTCCCAAAATTACTTCAACGGAAGGTTTCCAGATGGATGTGCGGAGCAAATCCATCTGGTGGAGTCAGGTTAGGGACTAATGTCCAAGCAGCATCTAGAAAAACTCATACATGCATTTATCTTTAGTAGAATTGATTACTGCAACACTGTCATCATAGGTTTGCCTTAAAAGACCATCCGGCAGCTGCAGCTGATCCAAACAACTGCTGCCCATGTTCTCACTAGAACTAAGAAAGTAGAGCACATCAGCCCAGTTCTGAAGTCCTTCCACTGGCTTCCTGTAGTTAGAATCCTTCTGTTAGTCTGTAAATCACTGAATGGATAGGCACCTCAATACATAACAGATTTGTTGTCAAAGTATCAACCTCCCAAACAACTCAGATCTTCTAGATCAAGCCTTTATACAGAACTAGAATCTAACATGGAGAAGGAGCATTACTTCCTATGCTCCACTTATCTAAAAGTGCTGAAAGCCTGAGTTCTTGCATTTGACTCTTGATGTTAAACTGTTACCTGAGATATTGTTAGCCTACAACTGTGGTTGAACTGTTTTATTTGGTTCTCTATTTGCTTTTATTTAAGTTAAATTTATGAAAAGCACTTTGAATGTTTGTGTTCGGAATTGTGCTTTATGAATACATTTGCTTTGCCTATGTAAAAGAATACCATGAAGAAAAACATTCTTATGTTTACATCGGATCACCATGTTTACATTTTATCACTGCTGCACTTTAAGAAATTGACATGTCTTGAGAGCTGTACTGAATAAAATTTTGTTTGTATACACCCAGTTTGTACAAAATGACAATAAAGTTTGTCTAAGTCTTAAGTCTAGAACAAAATCAAAGAAATCTGCTCTGTGAGAGTGAGCAAGAAGGGTATATGGAAACCTAGATTTAACTTTTCTTTGGCTTGCATGTAAAAAACAGTGTGATCAAATTTAAAAGTGTGACTTACCCTTTAAGAGCCCTCTCCACAGTAAAACATTGGAAGCATCAATGTGTGAGAATGCTTTGCTTTAATAGGGACACAAAAGATTATTGGGGATGAGAGGATACATTTTGCAATACAGCAAGGCTACTAGAATGGAGGTTCATCTTCCTGCAGAGCAACACTTAAAGCAGCCAAGGCTGCACTGAAATGGCTCAGATCAAAGCATACTCGTATGTTAGAATTGTAATGACTCAGAACAGAAGGACCCAGTATTCAGCCAAAACAGACAGTGGGATAACTTCAAGGGCGTTTATTAAAGCAACACTGGATCAGAGTTGCAGCAGCTAGGGCGTCTGAGGCAGGTAACTCTAGAGAGAGGAAACAGGTTAATGACCGCGAAAATCTGAAGGAGGATAATCCCAGAGCGTGAGTCACTTACCTGGTTTAAAGTTCAGTCCTTGCCCAGAGAACAAGGTGATAGCAGCCGGTCCGCTGACAAGACGCAGCGGTTTCCGCAAAGAGAGTTTCAGACGCCAAAGAATTGAAGGACACAGAACTGACAGGAGATCAGATCTGCACGGATGAATGAAGGCAGGATAATCCAGAGGGCCAAGTCAAGGGACAGAAGTTCAGTCCACAATAGAATCCAGTAGAATCTGAAGACAGGTCAGGCAGACAGATCAGAACAGGGGCAGGCAGGCTCAAAGAGAGAAGACAGACACGATTCAGGAGTGACACTAGAAAAACTCTCACCAAGGGCTCAAGAATAATCTGCCACTGATGATTAAGAATAAGTACCTTTAATAGAGGCATGAGCAGGTGGATCAGATGAGCATTGATGAGAAAACTGAGCAGAATTGGACTGGTGAATGAAATGAACAATTATGCCAGTCATCAGCACCCAGATTATGAAAAGAATGGCCTAGTCAAAGTCCAAACCTAAGTAAAATTTAAGAGGTTTCTGTTTAGAAGTTTATCATCCACTATGACTAAACTGGAGCCATTTAGCAAAAAGTATTGTCAACAAAGGTAGATTTGCAGCTTTTACTTTGTCTTGTTCCACAAAGAAACCTTATTACAAAGCACCTCAAGCTTACAGAAATCTAATTTTTTGAAATAGGACTCATTCTTAGCATTATATTTTCTATCCTCAGGGTCTCCCAGGGCCTCCAGGGCCCCCAGGACCACCTGGCCCCCAAGGATCCACAACAGCAGATGTTATTCCAGGGCCTCCTGGGATTCCCGGAAAAGATGGAGTGAAGGGAGAACCAGGACTCCCTGTGAGTTTTCATTACAATATCTCATCTTAGAAGGCTGACCTGAAGTTTTGTGGTTTAAACCTAAAGATAGGATTTTTTGAACTCAACAGGGATGCATGTTAACTATCAGCAAATCCAAGAACTTTCATCAAGGACATTAACAAACTCTTAGGTCTGCTCAGTACCTTTTCCCAGGACAAACTGTTTGGCTCATTTGTGCTGCAATATGAGAGACAGCAGTTCTTATTGTTTCATCTGTATTCGGGCCATCATGGTGGAGCTCTCTGTTGATCTGCAGAGAAAACATCCAGGCTAACAATATCTTTTTAGTAAAAATGATCAAGACTGGACTATGAGAAAAGGAGAAAGTCTGACATTATATAAGCTATACACAGCTAGCAGACCCAAGGCTGGCTCCATGAGACCATTTCTATCATCCCCCCAGCAAATCTCACCTCCACCGACAATGGAAAATTATATTAACAAGAGCTTTTGTCAGTTAATGATTCTTCATTGGTCCATTTTCCTACAGATACGTGTTTTGAGGGATGCTGCTCTTTATGGCTAATTGAGATGTTAAATATGCAGAGCAATTTTCAGATAAATTAAGTCTATCATTTGTGCATGCAGATATACTGACTAGTCTTTCTTTCTTTCTTTCTTTCTTTCTTTCTTTCTTTCTTTCTTTCTTTCTTTCTTTCTTTCTTTCTTTCTTTCTTTCTTTCTTTCTTTCTTTCTTTCTTTCTTTCTTTCTTTCTTTCTTTCTTCATTTTCTTTTTCTCTTTCACCTTGTGGAAGTTGTAAGGGACTTTTTGCTAAACTTCCAGTAATTCAGGAGTCCTCTCCTCGTTCATTCAATCTTTCTGTTTAAAAAAGCAAAACACTTGTATCATTTGTTTTAAATGTTATTTAACTTTTCCGAGAAACTGAATTGGGTTTTACAATCAGCTGTAAGCCATAATTGTCAACATAAACCTAATTCATCTGCAGCATACAGTACAGAATCACATTGTACTTTCTGACACCTTTTTAAATTGAAAATTAATCAAAGAACTCTTCATCATATTCTAATTAATCTGCTTCCTTTCAACCACTCTCTACTTTAAATTCTATTTTTATTTTCTAGTTCCATAATGTAAGCACAGGCTTACATTATGGAACATGCAGGAATATATTCCATTGATTTGGAGGAATTGTTTTAGAACTTTCAGTTTCTGTTCTTTAAAGAGTGAGAGTTTCTAGAATTGTTTAGTTTGTATTGTTCATTTAACTAAAAATCTAACTTTCAAGAGGTTTACATTAAAAATAGTTGAAATGTTTACAGAAAATAAGAGTTGTTACAGCAGCAGCTGTATGATAAGTGAACTTGTGTTGTACAGCTTTTCTTCACTAAGGAGGTAAATACTAAGATATAAAGCGACTGTTGCTATATTACAGGGGCTTGAAGGAAAAGATGGGGAGCCTGGATCTCCAGGAGAGAAAGGAGACAAGGTCAGGCTAAAACTCAAAATCACTATCTCCTCATTCATAATTAAAATGTGTCACTGACTTGAACCCTTCCTGTTAACTGTACATTTCTCTTATTCTCATGTTTTAATTGTAAATTTCAGCTCAGACTGTTCAGACTCAGAAACAGAAACTGCCGTGCCTAAGCTTAATTATCACTATGACAACCTCTGCAAAGGCCGACCCTGATTTAGCTTTAGCGTAATATCCAAGGCAGTCTTGTTAAAAATAAAAACAATTACGCATAAACTAAGTAACCATCCAGCTCTTAGGCAACCTCTTAATGAGGTGACCCCATGGACTAATGAAGCAGGGGAGCTCGAGTGTAAACAAGCTGGAGCTGCAAAAAGCTACTCTGCTTTTTAATGCTAACCAGAATCTATCTGCAGTCAACAGAGCTGTTAATTCAATGTAATTCTTTTGTTGGTTAAAAGGGAGAGCCTGGAGCAGGCGGGCCGCCAGGACCAAAGGTACGATCTATTTACTGCTTGTCTGAAAGGATAATGAACCATTACCAGCATTAGCAAGAATAATTATGATGCTTGCTTTTTGTTCTTGCTCTTCATCCAATATGGTTATTCAGAGACGTGCTTGTGACGATTTGAATTATGAGTTTGTCTCTTTCAGGGAGATCAAGGCCCACCGGGCTTTCCCGGCTTACCAGGGTCCCCTGGCAATGAGGGGCAGCCTGGTCCAAGGGGTCCACCAGGACCTCCTGGGCCTCCAGGACCCTTAGGAAGAGGCTTCGCCATGACGTTTGAGGTATTTTTTTTTTTTTTTAAATCAAGCTTGATCAACAGGTTTTTGATAGTGTGCATTCAAACCAGAAATAAAAAAAATTATCATCCTAAAACGTTTCTATATTCTGTTTACCTTATAGCTATAAATGTGGAGTTTTCATGAGAATCCATTAGAATTTTGTCCTGGTTTATAAGTGCATTGGAAATTGCATGTGTTTTTTTGTAATTAAATTTGAGAAGTTCTGCATGCATTTGCCTTTTTGGTCTCTTAATGAATGCTTCTGTAAAAACACACTTTCACCACAGTTACAGCTGGAAGGCTTTTGTGCACATCTAGAGACTGAAATTCTACTCCTTTGTCTTTGTAAAACAATACAGAACCAGTAAGATGATTTGAAAAAAAAACATCTTTAGACATTATGTTGCCCTCGAATTGTTTTCCTGATTCTACCATCTTGAGTTTAAATATGGTGAATATCATTAATATAAAGTTAAGTTCAACCATGCTGGTAGGGGAGATGAATAATCATTGTCTAATATCTCTGCTACATAGAAATCTGACATTTTAAAAAGAGTTTGTAGACCTTTTGGAGAAGTCAAGATATCGTTTCCCTTTCTGCTTGTCCAGTCAAAGATGATCCATAAACCCCTGCATGGATGCAGAACCGAGGATTTATCCCCAACAAATCTTTAAATCTTAACAGCAAAATTGTAGACACTCAGTTTGAATGATTTAGTTTAAAGGAAGAGCAGACAGGGTAGGATGTAACCCAGAGACCTAATTAAGGCTGAGATCAGTACCATGATACTTCTTCCCTTATTAGAAAAAAATATCCACTTATGCAGTATTTGTATCAAAAATCAAATGCCTTCTTTAGTTTAATATCAACAAAAGGACCCCCCTCCCCAATACCACTCCATAAGGTCATAGTTCACCTGATAAAATAGCATGCCACCTGCACTGTTGATTCATTTTCATTATCTTTAGCAGAAACATATTTCAAATTTGTTTCAAAATTTGACTTTCCAAGTATATTTATATATATAATATATTTTAATACAACATATTTTTTGTTTTTTTTTGAGGACCTGGAAGGATCTGGCCTGCTGGATGGTTTTGGAGCCTCCAGTGGTCCTCAGGTACAGGCGATATATGTGAGCCTCATAAAGCACGCTCATCCCACCAGGGTTCGCTGCTCACCTTATTTATATTTCTACCTGTTTATAGGGCCCACCAGGACTCCCTGGACCTCCAGGACCCAAGGTGACATATTTTTCTGTTTGTTCCTGTTGACAGTTATTTGGTTCTGGGAGTGATCTCACTCTTTCATTTCCCCTGCAGGGTTTATTTAATGTTTGGTTGGCGTTGAGTGAAACAAATGTGTTTGCAGTCTGGCAGTTTTATTCACTCATAGCTCAACATTCATGTCTGTTCTGTCTTTATTTTCTCCTTTATGTCTGTCATAGGGGAAGGATGGTTTAGAAGGGCCCCAAGGAAAGCCAGGGCAAAAGGTAAGCCCCCTACCTGATGTTATCTTTACTGTCCCTCTGTTAGGTTTCTGTTCACAATCAGACAAGCTTCTTTACAGGCTTCAGCCTTTAGGTCAGTAAAAAGCTGTGATCTGAGCCCTCATTGTGACATGACCCACAAGCTTTGAACCACACACTGTTAAAGAGGCTACAGATTCTGTCCTGATTCAGGCGTCTTGCTGTCTGACGTGATCTTCTTCTCTGTGAAGAAGAAAGCTTTATAATCCACAGGAAACCAAGACACCAAAGCACAGAGAAATGTCATGATTTTGTTTTTACTTCTGAAAGATTGTGCCATGTTGTGGCATTTTATTACCTGTGAATCATGCTGGTATTGTTTTTTGATGGTTTCTGCAGGGGGAGCCTGGTATTAGAGGACCACCTGGGCTTCCTGGTCTGGGTGGCATGAAAGGGGAACAGGTTAGTGATTTTTTTTTTTATTGTGACAAATACATGCATAAACACAACAAAGACATTTACAGTATAAAACAAACAAAAACAAATTATATAAATATATATATATATATATATATATATATATATATATATATATATATATATATATATATATATATATATATATATATATATATATATATATATATATAAATATATGTATATATATATAATTTGTTTTGATATATATATATATATATATATATATATATATATATATATATATATATATATATATATATATATATATATATATATATATATATATATATATATATATATATATATATATATATATATCCTGGATGAATTGAATAACAAAGGTATAATCAACTTCGCTGCTCCATAAATCAGCTGAGATCAATTCTGTTGAATTAGTAGTTTTTCAGCTGAGGGTCAAATATTCTACTTTCTGTAAATTTATAGACAATATAATAGAGATAATTAGATATTATTTACTTAGAAGAATTGGTAAGCATAAATAATACAGGTTTATAATAAATAGAGGTAAATATATCAAAACATCCTGTATTTAGCCACGCCCCAATTTTGGGGCGTGATCAGAAACTTCCAAACCTATAAGCCACACTCAAAATGAGGTGTGAGGACATAGTATTGTTGCATGATGAGCTAAAGAGCTAGAATTGCAGATTATTTGCAAACACATCTGTAAATTGTTATAATTTGACAAAATTGACAGTACCATCCAGTAGCCGAACAAAGAATTCATAATTCAGCATATAATGGCATGACATACAGTTAGTCTTCTCTGACATGCTGTGTATGCTTATAGGGAGAAAAGGGGAACAAAGGAGATCCAGGACCAAAGGTGAAACGATTACCAAGAAGTTGATTTATCCCCACTTTTTTTAAGTAACACAAAGCCTAACAACCAATAGTCTGTTTTAGGGAGAACAAGGTCGAGATGGGCTAAGTGTGCCCGGCCCTCCAGGACCACCTGGACCTCCAGGACCAGTTATGAACCTCCAGGATGTAAGTGGCATCAGAGCTTAGACTGTAACAGACATTTGTAGTCTCTAACCTTCGTCTAGCATGTTCAAAAATCAGAGCAAATTCTCCACCAGTGTTTCATTCTTTATTCAGAGAGTGGACGTTTTCTCTCCCTTCTTTCGCAGCTTCTGCTTAATGCAACAGATGGTGCCTTCAATTTCTCAGGGATATTTGAAACTCAGGGTCTGGCTGTGAGTATCATAAAAACTACTGATGGTTGTTAAACAAATAACTTTAAACAGGTCATTTTTAATTCTGGTTTCTAACATTTTTATAGGGACCTAAAGGTCCAAAAGGAGACATTGGATTGCAAGGTTTGCAAGGGCCTCAGGGAATAAAAGTAAGATTTACATATATAACCTTTGTTTTAATTTGAAATATGTGACATATATAAATAAATTCAATTTTGTATTGTTTTAACGTAAAAACTCATTCTAACGGGTTTATTTTGTGTGCATGCTGTTTTTCGCCTGCCCCTTATTGTTAACTGGTGTTTGTGTGCAGGGAGAAAAGGGTGAGCCGTATCTCATCAGAGCAGATGGATCCTTAATGTCAGATTTGGCTCAGTTTGGAGCAGTGGGAACCAAAGGAATCAAGGTAACATTTCACTCCCAAACACATTAGATTCATATAAAATCAATCATAGTAATGAATGTGATTGAGTTCTCAAGATGTAATTACCTTGGAAAAACCTGTACATCACAGCACAATGTGTATGTATCAATGTTGGCAGGGAGATAATGGTGTTCCTGGAGCCCCTGGAGTTCCTGTAAGTTTTTAATGAGAACAACATGAATGGCAGTTTCGAACATCATTAGGTTTGGTTAACAGCTGTGAAAGAAGTAGGATTTTCATACATCTAAGAAATTCTGTTTTGTTTTGTTTTTTTTACTATAAGGGGCCTATTGGACCACCAGGACCTAAAGGAGAAATTGGTTTCCCTGGACGCCAAGTAAGCAAAATTAGCTAAATAAGCATTTATAGCATGAATAAAGTAAAAATATACAGATGCTGTTATGCAGTTATAATATATTTAATGGCACCTTAAGTACGGGGTGCAAATGTATCATTTAATCAGATAATATTTGGACTATCATACATTGTTCTGTGAACTGTCTGTATGTTAGGACGGCAAATAAAAGTTTGATTCGAGCTCAGATCATGGTCAGCAGATAACTCTGCACATATATTGAATACATTCACCACAACTTCTGTTTAAAAAACAATAATTATTGATAAGAGAAATGATTCAACCCCAAGTTAGACTTACTTTGGTGAAAAACTCTTGACCATACAAGTGAAACTAAATTAAGCTACTACAATATGTTCACAAAGAAGACGAAATCATGGTTAAAAACCATAATCAATTAAATAAAGAAATGATATCACAGTTTAGGATGGAAGAACTAAAGTTTATCTTCAAAACTTTAGAATGCTGTCAAATTATTTAGACCGACTTAGATGTGTCCAACCAATTCATATATCCAAGAGGTAAATTAAATGTTTCCCCACTTTCTGCTTGCAGGGACGGCCAGGATTAATGGGACCTAAAGGAGAGAAAGGGGATGCCCTTGGCCTGCCAGTAAGTTACATCTTTCCTATTAACAGCCATTCATCCAATAGTGATATTTATCTATTTATGGAATCTTGCTATAAGATGTAGGATGATCACAGTTCAATACATAGTGTCACCCTAAAATATTCCCACTAATCCACTTTAGAAAGGTCTTGTTTGGTTACAGATGTGTGCTAAGAGTCAAATAGGTATATTTTAAAGAGATTAGAGCCATATTTTGCAGCACCTTAGAGATACCAAAACTGGGAGAAACAAGTTTATTTGGAATATCTAATAAAATCACTATTGTACAGCATGGCGATGGCAACTTTATGCTGTGGGAATCTTTCTATCACAGAAACCAGGATACTAGATTCTCAGCTGTATAGTACAGCAGCCAGATAAAGAGATTTCCTTTAAACTGAATGGTGCTCAGAACCACAATCGGATGAAGAGTCATCTTCCAACACATCCTTGACCCAATTAGATCCAAGAAAACAGTAGGAACCCTTAGCTACTTAAATCCGTGATTTCACAAAATATGGAAAAGCGAAGGGATGTGAATACTTTTTGGTGGTGCTCTGCATCATGACTGCTGATTTTCCCCTTTGGGAAACATGTTTAGGTTTTAGGGGTGTCCAAGAAGCAAACTTCTCCGTAATAAATCCTTGTTTGGATCCAGCAGTAATATGCTTCCTGGCTTATCCAGCAAAAATTGGACAGCTTTCAGCCCCACTGTTCCTAATCAGTAACACCGTTAGTGATGGAATCAGAATCTGACCTTTCACAAATTTCTTAGAAGAATAAGAATTATGTTTATTTCAAAGGATTAAAACTTCTCTGAGAAAGCATCTCTTTTCCTGAGATCTAGCAAAAAAAAAAATTATTTAGATGTTCTTTTCCGACCTAAAAATTCACTCTGATCTATTTCATACTGTGAGATAAAAAAAATATGTTTCATGTCTTGTTATACAGTGTAGATAAGTGTTAGGTTTCAACTGTATATTAATGTGTAATAACATAAAAAGGCAATCCCTACTAAACCACCAAGACTCATTTTACATCTTAAGCCATTTGAACACATTTAGTTTAAATTGAAAGTTGTTTTTTGTCTGAATTTATAAACATGATGGCTTTTATAAACTCTGTTCCTTACAATAAAATGTATTTGCCATTTTGATAAGCTTATGATTGTGTGAAAACACTTCTCAAACTTCTTCAAGCACAGATGACTGATAAATCTCCTTAATGAAGTTTTAAAACATTTGAGTCCTTTCAGTACAGATAGCATCAGATGGAGTGTTCCTGTGCTTAGACACCACTGTAAGGTTCAATAAAAACTTCTCACCTTGACTTTCTGCACTGAACGTTTCTTCTGCTCCCTTTTAGGGACCTCCTGGACCTCCCGGACCCCCGGGCCGACCAGGAACCTTCAACTGCCCCAAAGGAGTAAATATAGAGTCATTTTATGTGTAACGCTTTCTTTTACAGTACAGAAATAACCATGTAATAACATGGTAATAACATAGCAAGTTAAACTTTATTACAAGGTAACAATAAAAACTATGGAAAATTTGGGTAAATGCTGTGCTTCAAATTTTAAGCAGATAAGGTAAAGTCAGACTTTTTAGATTTCAAAGTTATTACCAGGTAACTCAAATTCATTTCACTGAGAACAATAAATTAATGTGTTACTATCTAGTAAATGCAGTTTATTACTTGGTACGGTATATAATAGAAAAACAACCCTATAAGACAGCAAGCCAATCTTGTTCACTAAACTGTTATTTATATTAACTTGAGTTGAGTTTTATAATGCTTTACTTACCTGATCATAAGTTACAATTTACTTTGTAAGCCGTCGGTAGTTGGTGGCCAATAATAGAAAGATTATTTAGAAATTTAACCAAAAGTCTCCATTGTTACCTTGTAACATACAATTGTAATAATTGCATACAGGTTATTAATTTGAAATTATATACCTTAATTTTGGGGTAATTTCCAGATAAAGTTTTATGTTACCTAGTAATATAGTGTGACTTGCTATGTAATTACCGTGTTATTACATGGTTATCGATGTGCTTTAAAAGAAAGTGTTACCGTTATATGTTCTTAGCTTTTTCATTGTTCATTTTCAGAAGCTCACCATGATTGTTTTCCTTGTTTTTGAAGACAGTGTTCCCCATCCCTCCCAGGCCTCACTGCAAAATGCCTGTAGGTTTAAAATCATGTTTGAACATAGCATGACACCATCTTATTGCCAAAGATGAATATGCCTCTGACTATGTTGTTGTGCTGTTGATCGATAACTTTAAGGACAATTAGTGTTTGCTTGTGGTTCTTTTTTGATTAAACCCTTGAAAAAAACTACTCGGATCCTTCCCCATTCAGGCCTCACTCCTTAACCCTCATTTTCTTCTTTCCCCACTTGTATTGTGCATGTTATACTCATATCAGCCAACCTTCTGTCACTTAGAGCCTCTTCTGGGTGATTCTAAAAATGTCCCTGCATGCTGCATGTGAACAACAGGAAGGGCTTAGAGCTGACAAAGGAAAAGAAATAAAACACATCAAGGTTGATGTGTATGGGCTACTAAACTCACCATTGAATGATTAGAAATGTTCAGAATTATTATTGAATGCTTTTATTGTTGTTATTCATCACTTTTTAACTCTTTGCTTCATTTATTCCAGCTCCATCCCAATGGAACAATTGCAACAGGTTGGTTTGATCCCACTTTGAGTCATAATAGTCTGAATACAGCTTTTTTATCTCAGAGATTAAAGAAAGGAAGACAACAGAAATCGTGTTTGGATTTTTCTAATAAAGGTAACTGCCTCGGAGGACCAAAAGGAGAGAAGGGAGAGAGGGGTCTTCCAGGTTTACCGGCTCCCCGAAGTAAGAAAGCAGTTATTTTGTTTTTGATAATTAAAAACACATAACAGTGTTTTGAGCTTTGAGATTTTGCTTGTTTGTGCAGACACCCTGCTGGGATGAAACGTTTTTAGCTGGTTTCCAAAATATCTGAGCCTCTCTTAATGAGTAAAATCCATTTATAAGTAAACTGATCTGTTTTTTTTTTGTTTTTTTTCTTTTGAAGGCTCATTTTTCCCTACAGGCAGCTGGGTAAGTTTCATTGCTAAGTTCCACTTTTCTTCCTGCTTACTTGATGTTCTTGTTTTGGATTTTTTTTTTTTATGTATTCCTACAGGAGATAAAGGGTGACCGTGGCATCAAGGGGGAGAAAGGAGAAAAGGGGGCGGCAGGGTCCCCGGGACAGCCAGGCCTACCTGGGAGGTCCGGCCTGGTGGTGAGTCACTGTTTGGCTGTCGCTGCTTTAAAAAAAATGATCATCAGTGACATAATTTTCTCAAAATTGTTTAGGGTCCCAAAGGGGAGTCAGTGCTTGGACCTCCTGGGCGCCCAGGGATGCCTGGCCCACCTGGGGTTCCAGGTTATGGCAGACCTGGAGCCGTCGGTCCTCCTGGCCCTCCAGGACCTCCAGGACCACCTGGAATGCCCCACATATATGGTTCAGGTATAAAACTTTTTGGATCAAAGCCTTCTCAATAAAACTAAAAAGTCTCCATATCCTTCTGTTATTTTGTCATGTTAAAATCACCCATTTGAATCAACTTAGCTTACCTAACTTACCTAAATAAATCAAGTCAAGCTGTGTGTAATTGAAAGAAGGATTCAGACGTTTATAAATGAATGGATAATAAGCACATAGGATCAAGACAACAGCAGATATGACTGAAGGATGCTGTAGAGCAATTTAGTGCAGGTGAGATAAGAACAGGAATGGGACTATGTGCCACACGCAACAGTTGGCTAAATCCATTCCTGTGTATCACCATGATCCATCCCCATAGTAAAACATGGTGGTGGCAGCATCATGGTAAGGGAATGCCTTGCTGCTGTAGCTAAGTGTAAAACCTGGGCGCAGCAGCAATTTTCTTATTACTGAGGTTCCGTCAGTAGAGGTTCAGGCAGAGCTGCGGAAGAATGGTCCAGTCAAAGTCCAGACATAAGAAAGATGATCCTCTTCCAGTATACATGATTTTACACCCTTTTTTCCCTTTATTTTTAAACAATCAATGTGCAAATATGCTGCTTAGGGTGGTTCTATGAAGTATCAACGTAGTGGGGCTAATGTACCATGATCAAATAAAATACATTAAGCTTTATGTTTATGACTTGAGAAAATATGAAAGAATTGATGAATTAATCTGTTTTCCTGAAATAATCTACAGAGGAAGGCAATAAAGTCAGAGTGCTGATGACCAGGATGTCTTAGCTCTGATAATTTTTTTTTTTTTTTTTTTTTTTTTTTAACCTTTTTAAATATTTATCTGGACCAGTACAGTGCTCCGTCTATCTATTTCTCTGTGAAGGTGTATGATTATATGGTGGAAACCCTGCTACATTTCTTAAATATTCATATATTGACTTGTTTTGTTCCAGCAATGACCATCCCTGGTCCCCCTGGACCTCCCGGACCACCTGGAACCCCTGGGACTTCAAGTAACTCGGCATTTGTAGGTTTTTTTTCCTTGTCATTGCATTTAATGGTTTTTTGTTCTCAATCCGTGTCTAAATTACATAGAGATTGTTTATTTGAATGTAGCACACAGATCAGATATTGATTTATATACTTGTAATGCCAGATTCGAAAAGAAGGCAAATCCTATGCAACATGCACCAACAGATGTTAGTATTTACCATGCAACACCTTGGAAATGATTTGGGATGGACTCCTTCCTTGTCTGAGGGAGATCCAATCAACTCACACCAACCATCCAACATACATCTAATGTCACTAACTTGTTCAACTGGTTTTAGCTGAAAACCTTTTCGACTCGGGAGAGTATGATGCAGCAGACATCGAAGGACGAAGAGGGGACTCTGGCATACGTCAAAGCAACAGGAAGTCTCTTCCTGAAGGTTCCCCAGGGCTGGAAGGAAATACAGGTACTAACGAGGAGTTAAATGTTTCCTGTGGGGTTTGTTTTAAAACGTAGCTCTTTCCTGGATATCTGAAAACAGTCTTCACCCTGAGAGTATCCTTTGATCACTACTGAGAAATGAAAGAAGCCGTTTTAGTCAAACACTTTCCTTCATGCTGTGACTCAGCAGGGATCATTATCAAAGGTGAAACAGCCTGTTTGAGGGAATGATTAATGTTGTACTGTAGCTCCCGTTTATAGAAATCATTGACCTTCTACTGCTGTGTGTGTGGTGAAGTATTGTGGCAGTGTGACTTAGAAAGCTTTTTAAATCACCTAATAAATGTTGGTTTAACTCAACCTATGCAGTTCTCTATTATGATGTTGTTCAAACAACATGATATGTAACGCCTTGAACCAGTGTAATCGTATTGACTTTTCCCACAGCTCGGCAGCCTGGTCTACCTCCCGAATAACGTCATTCCCCAAGATGAGGTACTTACTGCTTTTCAAGATGTACATCTGTTATAAAGTCCACACTAAGTGTTGTAATGTTTCACTAAAACTTCTTAACTCATCCTTCAGCCTCGAGTTGCGTATCAAGTTAGAGGAGAGACAATGCAAAGAGTCCGTTCAGTCAAAGAAAGGGTAACATCTAGATTCTGGTTGCCAGGACGTATAGAGCTGAATGTTATAGACTAACATCCATCTTTTTACTTTCTCACAAATAAGCTAAACTTAGTGGCCTTGAACCAACCGCACACGGGAAACATGATGGGGCTCGACATGGCGGACCGGATGTGTTATGAGCAGGCTAAGGCCATGGGTTTGGCGCCCAACTACCGTGCCTTCATTTCATCTCACAGGCAAGACCTGGTCAATGTGGTCTACCCTGGGTTCAGGGACTCTCTGCCAGTAACCAACCTCAGGGTGAGTGGACTCTCTGTGCCCAAAAACCTTGATCAAAGCTCAATTCCTTTGATTAAAGGCATATTTCCCTTCAGGGAGATGTGATGTTCAGGAACTGGCGGTCCATATTCAATGGCAACGGGGGGCCAGTGAATCCCAGGATACCCATCTACTCCTTCGATGGCCGGGATGTTTTAGCTGACCCCTTCTGGTGGGTGAACTTGGACATTATTATTTTTTTTTTTTGTGCTTATTTACAGCATTAGTAGTTTACATACACACATCAAAGGCATGATAGTTCTATTGGTTTGAGGTCTTTAATGACTTATTTTGACCCATCTTCCATTGTGGGTAAACTGATTATATCATTAATGAGGTGACAAAGTTTGAATTTATTAGATATTTTCCTCACTTTAAACAGCCTCAAAACAGTCATCACTGGTTCAATTCAATTCCGTTTATTTATATAGTGCCAATTTACAACACATGTCATCTCAAGGCACTTCATAGCCCACCAGATCATACAGTCAAATTGACCCAAAGTTTTCTATCTAAGGAAAACCAGTTGATTGCATCGACTCATTGACTCGAATGCAATCCTTCACACTAAGCATGCTTAAAGTGACAGTGGAGAGGAAAAACGCCCTTTAACAGGAGAAAAACCTACAGCAGAACCAGGCTCAGTGTGAGCAGCCATCTGTCGAGGCCGACTGGGGTTCAAGGAGACAGAAGCAGAGATACAAAAAGCAGCTGTAAAAGGCAGCCCAGTCCTGGAAACACACAGCCAGGCAGAAAACTCCCATGTCAGAGGATGAAGAGAGCACATCCAGCCAGTGACAGTCAGAGAAACAGGACTACACTGGAAAAACAGGCCGATCTCCAACATCTATAAATGGTTCAAATGTTTGTATACATCCTTCAGTAAATGTCCATCACCAAGTTCGACCACAGACTTTTTTAGCTATTAACTAGCTTCTAGCATATTATTCACCTAATAGTGGACTATTCTTCTTGGAAGATCATAAAATTAATATTGCTTGATTTTTAGAAAGGGTTCTGTTTTTAATCATGATCCCAATATATGGTTTTGGCAACAATTTCCATTAGCTTAATGTTAGCCTGCTTTTCCATTCTTAGCCAGTTTTGATGCATGTTAGGGAGGATTTGGATATAGTCCTCTTACTGTATACATTACATTAACTGTTTGCATTGCATCAATACAGCACTATCCTTCCAACAACTAACCGGCCCGTAAAATGTTACTCCAGAAGACATTCATTTTAAAAAGGCTTCACTTTGGCTATTATATGTTTTAGGAAAAAGTTTTCAGCTATGCAATCCAGTTTACTAAAGGAAATCGATGGTAATTTACTCAGTCATCACTTTATTATCTTTGCAAAGATGAAACACATATCATAATATACAGCTTGATGCTCTGTCCTACTCTAACTAGACAAAGATTCTCTCACTAACTTAAAGCCTGCAGAAAAGTGTGAAGGTCTCCACATACAGCTAATCAAAACAAGTTACAGACAGTTGATGAAAATCAGAGTTCATGCAATCAGCTGGTTTTCCTTAAATAGAAAACTTTGAACAAAACTGACTGTATTGTCTCTGTAAAGAGCCTTGTGATGATATGTGTTGCGAGTTGGTGCTATATAAATAAACTGAAGTAAATTGAATTGAAAAAAATAGAATTGTATGAATAAACCTTGAGACAGTGTCTGGCTTGTTATGGGAACGATTATTTTCTGTCCCAAACAAATAGTGAAACAGTAACTCCTCTCACTCAGACACTGTGTGACCTTGCAGGTGTAAAGGCTTGATTGAATACTTTTATAAAGTATGTAAACGCAAAATATATGTAAGGGAAAGTAATAGGACATTGAATTTTCCCTTCAAAGACATTTAAAGCATGCAATAGAAGCTTCTAACAAAGAGCTATTCAAACATTAACATGATATTTGCCATAAACACATATACAGTTTGTATATTTCAAGAATCTTGTCATTTTTAATCCATGAAATGACACTATATAAAAAAAAAAAATAAACAACAAGCATCCTGAGAGAATTTACTCCTTGGAATATATATTCCCAGATGAAAAAAAAAGAAGTATAAAAAACAACTGTACTTTATTGGGGGAGTGGCGGACTAGTGTTTAGGGCATAGAGCTTGGAATCCAGAGGTTTTGAGTTCAAGCCCCACTCCCACAGACTGCCACTCTGGGTCCCTGAGCAAGACCCTTAACCCCACACTGATCCCCGGGCGCCAAATAATGGCAGCCCACTGCTCCACAAGGGTATGGGTGAAATGCAGAGAGTTCATTTCATTGCTCTGTGACAGTGTAATAATAAAAAGCTGGGGGGAAAAAATGTGTAGAAGATTTAAACAACCTTGAAAGAAAAATGTGTGATCAGAAAAGTAGCATGTAGTAGCTAAATAGAGCATCTGCCAATTTGTTTTTAATTTAATGATGATTTAACCCTGGATTAAAAAAATATTCAATCCACTTTTTTTCTATGACAAGAATTTCTAATGTATTTGATCTAAAGGCACATTACAGCCTCAAATCAGTCAAATTATAAAGACAGATTAGTTGAAGACTTTCAAAAAAAGGAGACTATCTCAGGAAACCTTGCTGATTATGGAGTCATGTAGTATCAGAATTAATTTGTTCTGGATGAATATGTAGCGACCATGGAAATGAAAAGTTATGTGTTACAGGAAGACATCAGCAAAGTTATGTGTTACAGGAAGACATCAGCATGAATGGCTTTAGAAGACAGGGCAGACACATACAAAAGCCTCACAAGCACTGATTCAGGAGTACTTTTTATGTGAGAGTAAAAAAAAATAAAAGAAATGGCAATAAAATCTACTTTAATGGCCTCATTTAGAAGAGAAACAGCTAAAAAAATATATATTATCAGGATCGGTATCAAAATTCAATACAATTAATAAGTATTCTTTTAAAGGGAAATAAATGTTGCAGTAACTCATAAGGTTTTTGTTTTGTTTCAAGTGTATTTAACTAAAAGCTTTTTTAAACTCAAAGTTGAAAGCATTTTAAGTCCCAAATTAATATTCACTATCACGTCTTTAAGTATGTATATAAACTTCTGGCCAGAGCTGTTTAAAGAGCTGGGATATTTTCTGTCATGCTTCCGATAGGCCCAAGAAAAGCATCTGGCACGGTTCCACCAGCAGAGGTCTCAGAGTGATGGACAAACACTGTGAGACGTGGCAGGCAGACAACTTCTCAGTGATGGGCCAGTCCTCCAGCCTGACCTCAGGTCTGCTCCTCGGCCAGGAGACAAGAAGCTGTTCCACCGAGTACATCGTTCTTTGCATCGAGACCTACAAACACTCTTAACTAGTGTCTCTTTGAGACACAACTCCACCTGGACCTATAAAGACTACAGGTGCTGGTCATAAAATTAGAATATCATGAAAAAGTAGATTGATTTCAGTAATTCCATTTAAAAAGTGAAACTTGTATATTATATTCATACATTACATACAAACTCATATATTTCAGATGTTTATTTTGTTTAATTTTGATGATTACAAATGACAACAAATGAAAATCTCAAATTCATCATATCAGAAAATTAGAATATTGTGAAAAGGTTCAAAATTGATGGCCCCTGGTGCCACACTCTAATCAGCTAATTAACTCAAACCACCTGCAAAAGCCTTTAAATGGTCTTTCAGTCTAGTTCTATAGGCTACACAATCATGGGGAAGACTGCTGACTTGACAGTTGTCCAAAAGACGACCATCGACACCTTGCACAAGGAGGGCAAGACACAAAAGGTCATCGCTAAAGAGGCTGGCTGTTCACAGAGCTCAGTGTCCAAGCACATTAATAGAGAGGCGAAGGGAAGGAAAAGATGTGGTCGAAAAAAGTGTACAAGCAAGAGAGATAACCGCACCCTGGAGAGGATTGTGAAACAAAACCCATTCAAAAATGTGGGGGAGATTCACAAAGAGTGGACTGCAGCTGGAGTGAGTGCTTCAAGAACCACCACACACAGACGTATGAAAGACATGGGTTTCTGCTGTCGCATTCCTTGTGTCAAGCCACTCTTGAACCACAGACAGCGTCAGAAGCGTCTTGCCTGGGCTAAAGAGAAACAGGACTGGACTGCTGGTGAGTGGTCCAAAGTCATGTTCTCTGATGAAAGTAAATTTTGCATTTCCTTTGGAAATCAAGGTCCCAGAGTCTGGAGGAAAAGAAGAGAGGCACTTCATCCACGTTGCTTGAAGTCCAGTGTAAAGTTTCCACAGTCAGTGATGGTTTGGGGTGCCATGTCATCTGCTGGTGTTGGTCCATTGTGTTTTCTGAGGTCCAGGGTCAACGCAGCCACATACCAGGAAGTTTTAGAGCACTTCATGCTTCCTGCAGCTGACCAACTTTTTGGAGATGCAGATTTCATTTTCCAACAGGACTTGGCACCTGCACACAGTGCCAAAGCTACCAGTACCTGGTTGAAGGACCATGGTATCCCTGTTCTTAATTGGCCAGCAAACTCTCCTGACCTTAACCCCATAGAAAATCTATGGGGTATTGTGAAGAAGAAGATGCAATACACCAGACCCAACAATTCAGAAGAGCTAAAAGCCACTATTAGAGCAACCTGGGCTATCATAACACCTGAGCAGTGCCACAGACTGATCGACTCCATGCCACGCCGCATTGCTGCAGTAATACAGGCCAAAGGAGGCCCAACTAAATACTGAGTGCTGTACATGCTCATACTTTTCATGTTCATACTTTTCAGTTGGCCAACATTTCTATAAATCCTTTGTTTTTATTGGTCTTCAGTAATATTCTAATTTTCTGATATGATGAATTTGAGATTTTCATTTGTTGTCATTTGTAATCATCAAAATTAAACAAAATAAACATCTGAAATATATGAATTTGTATGTAATGTATGAATATAATATACAAGTTTCACTTTTTAAATGGAATTACTGAAATCAATCTACTTTTTCATGATATTCTAATTTTATGACCAGCACCTGTATTTAAGGACATCGTTTTCAGCTTTGGGGCTACATGTAGCTGTTTGAGCTTTTAAACCAAGATGTTTTGTAGTTTTCTGACTTCCGAGATCGGTTAGATCGAGGACTGGGGTCACGGTGTTCACAACTGAAGGCTCCTTTTCCACAGGTAAAAGTTTATATTTGGAAGCAAGGATCACAGAATGTCTTTATTTATTATGAAGCATTTTAAAGATTTCAAACCTGGTGGCACATGCAGTAATGCAAAATAAAACCCTGAAGGTAAAAGATTTAACTTTAACAAAGTGAACAAATAAATGCATTTTTAAATATGCATCACCTCAGCTGCATTGATATAAAGTACCACCTACTCGTGATTTCCTTCACATTGGATATAAAATAATAGGTCAGCTGTGCTAAATTCTACTTTTCTAAGCCAGTATGTCTCCGAAGGTTCTGCTAGTGTTTATTTTTGATTCCTAGTGCCATCATTTTTCTATTAGCTTACATTTTACTTCATCCAAAGGGAAAATGAGACAACTGATGTTGCCACCAATGATATTTGTGATGCACTGTATTTTATTTTTCAAGGTTTTCTTGTTTAGCTTTCCTGTTTGTTTTGTCATAGCTTTTAATTCATCCTGATCATTCAGCCTTTTCTTTAAAAGGCTTATTTAATTTAAATCCAGTGATTTATTTATGCAGTCACAGCACATAACATGAAATTAGACCAAAAAAAAAAAGAATGTAATTTATCATTGTTTACGGTCTGTCTCTCCTCTTGCTTAGGTCTATATTTGTTTATTGTTCCAGAACAAAAAGGTTTGGGGATTTTACTTTTGATGTCAATTAAAGGTAAAAAACAAAACAAACAATCTCATAGTTAGTTGGAAACAACATTTAATTCAATATGAATTGATGTTTGAAAAGAATCAAAAGGGAAGTGAAATCCAAAGGGAGAGCACATGTTTTGTATAAATATTTGTTGTTTTGGAAATAAAGATTTTTTTCTTTTCATAAATTGTTGATGTTATTGCAGATGAAAAAAAAACAAAAACAAACCTGCAGCCCAACTCAAAATATCAAAGCTTAATAATTATCATACTTTTGATTACGACTTTTAATATTTCATTTGTACTTCTTTAGGAGTGAGGAAAGTTCATTTAATAGGAGTTTATAGGACATAGAGATACAACTAAAGATGGCGTAGTATTAATATTACTACTAAAAATACTACCCCGTCCAAAGTTACTTTAGTACGACGGAGTATTAGGGGCAGGCTAGAGATTTTTTATATTTTTTTTAATTTTGAAACTAAAGTCGTAACATTACAAGAATGAAGTCATCATACAACAACCCGTTTTAGAAAGAAAGCTTTGAGCTCCTAACAGCATATGACTGCCGTCCAGCGCCACCAGACAGCAATCTGAGAACACTAATTAATACTGACTAATTAAATGCTGATGTGCTGAAAGATTTCCTTATTTGTCAAACCAGAGCCAAAGTATAATATAATTTTAGGGAATAAAGTGCTTCTTGTAAAATACAACTTTATTCTCGTAATTTTAGGACTTTATTTTCTTAATTTTATGGCTATTCTCATTGTGATTTCACTCTTGTAATTTTAGGACTTTTTTCTCCTAATTTTTTTTGCTTTATTCTCGTATTGTTATGACTTAATTCTCATAATTATACTTTATTTTCATAATTTTATGACTTTATTTTCATAATTTTATGACTTTATTTTCATAATGTCATGACTTTATTTTCATGTTACGACTTTATTCTAATAATTTTAGGACTATATTTTCATAATTTTATGACTTTATTCTCATAATTTTATGACTTATTTTCATAATGTTTTGACTTTATTCTCATAATATTATTACTTTATTCTCATAAAATTATTACTTTATTTTAATAATATTATGACTTTATTTTCATGTTACGACTCTATTCTCGTAATTTTACGACTTTATTCTCAATATATATATATATATATATATATATATATATATATATATATATATATATATATATATATATATATATATATATATATATATATATATATATATATATATATATATATATATAAAATCTACAGCCTGGTTCTAATGCTCCATCGTAAGTATAAAGAGAATATTTAGAAATATTATATATATATATATTATACTTTTGGTTAACATGGTTTTATTTTGAAAAGAAAAAAAGCGGAAATCCCGCTTTTATTCTGATGGGCGGAAAGCGGAAGTTATAAAGTTTTATAATTTCTCTTATCAACAGCCGCATTCTAGCCGTGACATTTAACGTCTGCTAAAATGTTTTCTTTATTGCTTTTTATTTCGCTCATTAATCTTTTGTTTTGTTCACCGGCTGCCAGAAATGACGAACCAATCATCGGTGAGCTCATTACATGGTTATGTCTCTGTTGTTACCTGTGTGACTTAAAATGCCCAGTCATGTTTAACTAGTTCGTCTCCTAAAGGTGTTCTGGCTCAGGAGGTTTTCTCCCCTAAACCGAACCAGACGGCCTACATCGCTGCCTCCTATGTGAAGTTTCTGGAGGCAGCTGGAGCCAGAGTTGTACCTGTCATGTAAGGCGCCACTGTCTGATCGGCCATTATTACTATCATGAACACCGGTGTGGAGCTAAATTTCGTCTTTACAGGATAAACATGACCATGGAGGAATACAAGACCCTGTTCAGCTCTATTAACGGGTAAAAACAACTTCTTTATCACCTCAATTTGCTCTGTTTTTCATCAACTTTTGTTTTCCTTATTCAATATGTCACTTCCCTTTTGATTTAGGCTTTAATTATACATTTTGATCAATATAACTTTATATAGAAAGCTGATTTATCATATAATTAGCGGTAGCTCACAAATATGAAGGACCGGCTCTGCCATATTTAAAAATAAATACAGAAATAAATAAATGCTCAATAAATAAATAAGCACACAATTAATAGCCCCCAAAAATACAATAAACAAGCAATTATAGGCAGAAAGTATACAGTGACACATAAATGTATATATCTCTTTTAATTTATTCACCTTTGTAATAATCACCTTATTTATTTATGTGCATGTTATAATATTTTTGTCTGTTGTAGTAAAATGCTAACCAACCAATGAGCAGAAATCCATACAGAAAGTTAAAAACGACAGGCAGAAATAAATTGGATTGAAAAAATAAATAGGGTAAAAAAAATACCAAAGACGAATAAAGCAGACTAAAATATTATAACATGCACATAAATAAATACTTGAGCATTTATTTATTTCTGTATTTATTTTTAAATATGGTAGAGCTGGTCCTCCATACACAAACAGTGGGTTATAAATTGTTGTGAGCTATGCTCACTTAGGATTACAGTCATGTTTTTTTAATAATGTAAAGAGAGCATGATAAACGCTTCACTTCTACAATTAAACTCAAATAAAACAAATGTCAAAGAAAGAAATAAACCCCTGCAACACGTATAACCAGAACACAAGGACATCCATTTGAAAATAAAAACATTTTATATTTACGTGCCGCAGTGGGTGCACTACTGCCTTGCAGCAAGAAGGTTCTGGGTTCGAATCCCAGGGTCTTTCTCCTTGAAGTTTGCATGTTCTCCCTGTGCAAGTGTGGGTTCTCTCCGGGTACTCTGGCTTCCTCCCACAGTCCAAAAACATGACTTCTATGTTAATTGGCTTCTCTAAATTCTCCTTAGGTGTGAGTGTGCATGAATGGTTGCTTGTCCTGTTTGTTTCTGTGTTGCCCTGCGATGGACTGGCCACCTGTCCACCAACATCAAGTGTGATGGAAGATGGATGGATATTTATATTGAAACAAAAGCCAATTTAGGGACATTTAATTTGGTATAAATGTTGCCGTGTTAAATATTGGCTACTATTTAACAAACCCTTTACAAATCAACAAATAATTACTATTTCTATAGAAAGCAATTTGAGATTGAAGTGTGGTTTGGTTATATGGTCTCTATGTTCTCGTGATGTCCTTATAGACTCTTTTAGATTACAATGTTGATGGAAACACAGCAACTTAACTGTAGATTAAAACTACATGTAAATGTTAGTTTTACAATAAAAAAAAGCTAAGTGATAATTGATAAACTTGTCTGAACGAATCAAACCAATTTTTATTGGCACCTCCTAGGCTTACTTACAGTGATCCGGTTTGTGTGCTGTATTTGGGACAGGGTCCTGTACCCAGGCGGAGGGGTCAGCATCATCTCATCTGGTTACCAAAGAGCTGCCAAAGCCTTCTATGATCTGGCCATTGAGGTGAAAGCAGAACCTACAGGCAGCTGCCTTTCAGTGTGTGTATGATGGGTTGTTTAACGTGTGAGATGTTTCAGGCAAACAAGCGGGGCGACTATTTCCCTGTGTGGGGCACCTGCCTTGGGTTCGAACAGCTCATGTATTTGACGAGTGGAAAGAGCTTGCTGTCCTTCACCAACACGAGTGGCATCGCTTTGCCTCTGAACTTCACCGAAGGTAAGTGTGTCATTTATTAGCGAGAGATTAGAAACCATAAACCATGATTTTGTGATGCAATAAATCGGTTTACTGGGATACTGTATATCATCCAATTATTGCATCACACTCAAGTAGCTATAAAATGTTATGGTGCTGATTCAATCCAGATTTATAGCTCATGTATAAACAATGAAACCTAAAATGGAAATATAGCCAGGTTTAGAAATCTTGCTAAAGTGAATGATGAGGATGGTGTGTTTGTTTTCCAGATGTAAAAGGCAGCAGGATGTTTAAGGCCTTCCCTCCTGAACTCATGAGAGCTCTGTCCTCTGAGCCTCTAACAGAAAACTCCCACCACTGGAGCCTGGCAACGCTGGTATGTCATCATTCCTGACATGATCAGAGTTTCTACCAAGTGAGGAAAAGGATTCGAAGGATAGCATGTGCTAGAGGAGGAGGAGGGGGAAAGAAAACAATGTTTTTCTAGTTTCCATCATCCGTTTATTTTTAAGCCTTGTTGGCATACTATTAAAAACGGTGCCGATATTTGGTCAGACCTTTTAGTTAGTCACCAAACAGAATTAGATTTTTCCTTTAAAGCTGATTTTAGGCTACAATACCCACAAAATGCTTTTCTGTGACTAATCTTTTCCATTTGGTTTCAGGCTTTATACACAAACGAGGAACTGAAGAGTTTTTACAGAGTGCTCTCAACAAATAACGATGGAAACGTGGAGTTCGTGTCGACGGTTGAAGGTGATTAAAAGCAGTATTTCCTTTGGTGTGGTAGAACAGGACAGCTGTCATAACTATCGATTTTTGTCGTCTCACCTCCGCTCCAGCGTACAATTACCCTATTTATGGAACACAATGGCATCCAGAGAAAAATGCCTTTGAGTGGTCCAGACCTTACATTCCTCACTCTCCATCGGCCGTCAGAACAACCTTCCACATGGCCGAGTTCTTTGTGGGCGAAGGTATGAATACGGAGGCAGTTTGTTGTCTTAAAGCAGAGTATTTATTTGTTGCTCCTGTTCTGATCCGTACATCTTCTCATGTCTGTTTCTCTGTAGCGAGGAAAAACTTCCACAAGTTTCCATCTAAGGAGGAAGAGGACAAAGCACTGATATACAACTATAATCCTGTTTACACAGGAGCAGAGAGTGCCTTCGAGCAAATTTATTTATTCTGAGAGATTCCTCTTCTCTTCTCCGAGCACTTTTTCCACTCCAAAGCTGAATCAATACCTTAATATGGACTTCAATTTTTTTATTTTTTTTTATTGATTATTACTTATCTTGTTGTGATTATTTACAAATGTGCACTGGAACATGAAGGGAGATTTTTTGTTAGAAGTATTGTAGCAGTGCAATGTTTACATTTGCTGTTTGCAAATCAGTTTGTGCAGGATTTGTTTTAAAAACTTGAACTTGGGCTAATGCAGGTCTTCTAGCCTAACTGTGCTCAACCCGACATGTTTTTGGCTTCAAAAATGCTTAAAAGCCGAAATTTAGATGCTGCTTCAAAT